ATGACAATTACAAGACTTAAACAACAGAACTTTTTAATCAACAAAAAATTAGGTCTAAACCATTAGTGCAGACACACAAACATGCATGCAGGCATGCACGCACACACACACACACACCAAAAAAAGGGGGGGAAGAGAGAGAAAAGAAAAAGAAGAAAAAAAAAGAAAGGGGAAAACAGCTTAAACAACTTAAAATGAAAGAAATAATTAATAACACAAACAGTTATTTTTTAATATTTCCTTACTGTCATAACTGTTTAACTATTTCTAAACAACCACTTCGTATTTTTTATTTTATAATTTCTACATGTCATCTCATGAGAATTAAACCGATAACCTAACATTTAAAAACCTCTGAAATCTGAAATGGCAAACACCCAAACTATTCAGGATGTTGGATCTTGTACTGCACATTTTTTACATAGGAAAAGAATAAAAAAATCGAAAAATTAAATGAAAGAGAAATATATATATGTAAATTTTAAAATTAGATAAAAAAGCAAACTTAGATAAGTGTAGATTCTGAATAAAATTCGATTAATCTTGAGAGCTCTGAGACAAAGTTCTTATTCTTAAGAAGCAAAAGAACTCTGAAACTGAAGTTCTCAAAACCAACATATTTTTATTCAATACAATTGCTGATAAATGACTTCATTTTTGCTTAATTTTAAATCGTAAAAGCATTAGGAAAGTTATAGAAAATACATTGCTGCTAAATATATAAATTTTCAACAAAAGCTTGAATATTTGGCTTTTGAATTACTGCAGAACCGTTAAACAATTTGTGACTTATAATTTACAAAGTATTAATGTATTAACTATTTGTATAAAATACAGCCCAGAAAACAAAAGCCACAAAGCATACTTGTTTGCTTACAATTACAAAAGACTAAAAATATAGATAATTTTAACAAACTGTCTGTACAAATTAAATTCAAATGATTGTATATGCTGGAGGAATAAGGGTGGTGGACAAAATGTCATACCATTCAGTCACCCCATAAAATTTTTAATATTACATATTTAACATTAAAAATGTTTATTCAAATACTTTTGTTCATAGAAATCCTGGTAAATCTCAGGAGAAGTTAGTATTGGACTCTAATATCATACTTGCCAACCTACGACACTGAAAAATCAGGAGATTTTTTTAAGAAATCAGGAGATTTTTCACAATGTTAAAAATACTTTTTAAATGATAAAAATAGTTTTTAATGATTAATTAACTTTAAATAGTTACTAAGTCTTAAATGCAAGCAAAACAAAAATACCTTAGACATAAAATACATTTTTATTACTTGCATCGTAAAAAAAAAAAAAAAAAAAAAAAAAAAAAAAAAAAAAGACACTTTAATCAGTTTTTATACAAATGTTATGGACAGTGGCAGATTTTGCTTTCGTTAAGAAAGAAACTTCATAATTTTGTTCATAGCAATTGCCACGTACGCCTGCTTTCGCTAATAAAAATTTTTCTAATGTGTCATCACTAATATCAGATCTAAATTTAGTTCTCGTTTTCGCAACAACACTGAAAATCCTCTCACACTCCGCATTAATATGGGGAACTGTCAAGATGGCCAACATAATTCTAGAGAGTTCACTATATTTTAAAATTCCATCATCACTTTTCAATTTTCCAATTAAACTCCACTAGGTGTTAATCCTAGCTGATTTTATAACTTCATCCAAGTTTTCTAATTGTAAACTGCAAAATTGCGACTACAGTATATCAGTAGCAACATCAATATCGTCATCTTTCATGACTAAACGAAGTAACACAGGAAATCTGTTCAAAAAGTACCTTATATCAGAAAAAGATGCATTTGCTAGAGCAGAAATATCAGCAACTTTAGCATGCAAAATCACTTAATCGTTGAATGGAAATTTATGTAGTATGTAATCACATACTCGACAGAAGTAACTCCTAACATGAAGATAAAACTTATTTTTGTCTTCTTCTGAAAGTTCTTCCACTACTTTTGTAGTTGCAACTCCTATTACCAAATCTTCATCTTTCTTCTGATTTTCTGTTTCACCATAAATCACATCATATATAGAATTACAAGACAAAACACAGACTGGTTTTACAAACTTTGATAAAATGTCTTTAAACAGATCATAAATCATTGATTGCAAAACATGAATTAATCGAATTCTGCTTTGTAGAATTGCGTTAAGAACATCGAATGATGGCAAAATGAATTGTAAAAAAAAGTAAAAAGCTTTGTTAAGGTCCGAAGAAAGAAACATAAATATTCGTTCTTCACAAGATAAACTTACAGTAATCGGAAAATGTTTCGTGTGTTGAGCAATTTTTTTTATTTTGAGAGAAATTTGTATCAGATTTATGCTTATATTTTGCAGTATTATTTTGAGAACTGCCAGTTGAATTGCTGAATAATGCAGAAATTACTTTATTTTTCTCAAACCTATTTTTAACAATGCAAGTAGTAACTACATCTCCATTTACTTTAGGTACTTTATAACTTTTAATAGAGCCTTTTATCTTAACTCTCGAAGCATTTACTTCTTCTTTAAAAAATGCAAGAAGTGGGTTCCATTGATTGAGGATTCTAGATAAGCATTTCTTTAAAGACAGCCAGCGTGTACACACGTTTCAAAATTTTTCTTATTTCAATATTATGCAGCTGTTGGAACTGTTTCAATTTTTCCTTTCTTTTAGAGCTTCTTTCAAGATAATAATAAATATCAACAATGTGTTCATTCACATTTAATGGTAAAGAAGCTGCCCCTTTTTCAGATGCTAAATTTAAGAAGTGACAGGTGCACCTCATAATCTGCAAATCTGAATTTGCCTTTCTTAAGATGCCTGCAACACCAGTCTTCAAGCCTACCATTACTGGTGCATTATCGACACCAAGTGCTAAGCAATTATCCAGAGGGACTGCATTTTCTTTTAAACAACAATTGGATACAGTTTTGAATCGATATTATTGCTTCCATCCATAGAGAGGCAGAACGGAGCTGTTTTAATGCAATCAATAACTGAAGATTTATTTTTCAAACCCATTTCTTTCACAATTGCACCTGTTTTGGTCCTTGCACTTGAGTATTTCTTAGCGATTTCACTATCGGGAAATATTTTTCTAAATAAAGCTGCAGCGTGATCCGATGCATTCAGTGGCAGGTTGTGCTCCAGTAAAAAAAAAGGCAGAGAACAGATAGACATTCTGCATTAATCACTTTTTGGTCTTTTGTTTCCGAAGAAAAATTTAATTTTCTTTTTTTTTTTTTTCTTTCAAAACAACTCATGTTGTCCTTGTGTTTTTGTGTACGCACATGTTTGAGAACATCTGCGCCTTTCCATTAATGTGAAATCAAAAAATCGCAACGACAGATGGTACACATCGCAAATTTATTACATTTCCTTGAGGAAATAATGGAAGGAAAGTCAACTGTGTATGATTTTTGAAACGTGCACGAGTATTTCACCTTTCTCGCAGACATAGACAAACAAAAGACGATAATTTCTAAAACTCTCTCCCAAAGGCACGTGTACTCACACAACTCAGGACAAGATGAACGAAATAACAAAAGAACATCCAAATAACGGCCCAACGGCCAAAGAATTTTCTTTGCAATGGCCTTGAGCTTGCTTTGTGCTCATTGGCTTAATATATGCCAGATGACACGCAGTGGAGCTCGATGCCCATTGGAGAACTGGAGAACGATGACGTTTCTGGATACGTATGCTGTCACTCACAAAGCAGAAATTCTCATCTGATTCGTAAGGTTTTATTTTAGATATAATCTAGAGAAAATTCAGTTGCTTTCAGATGTCCAAAATCACTTTTTTTTTTTTTTTTTTTTTTGTTCATATAACGAAGTATTAAGCCAAGTTCCATAAAAATCGTGAGAAATATATTGTAAAGCGGGAGAGCGGTCGAAAATCGGGAGAGTTGGCAACTCTGTAATATGCTATGAAACAGCAGCTTGCAAGATGGCAGATAATTCTCAGTTGAATATTGAAGAGAAAGAGTAAGATGTTATGTTTCTTGAAGAAATGAAGAGTTTGCTGTTGACATAAAGACCTTTCTGTGCACATTCTGGTATAAGATGGACTTCTTGCAAACAGACAACTCACAGACTGTATCAGCAATTGGAAGACACTGGCTACATGTTTGAAAAGAATAAAAGGTATTTATCAAGTGTCTGAATACCTAAAGATAGCAACAGGTATCCTTTTACATATTCAGTGGGTTCATGCAAGACAGAGCCTACCCAAATACTACAAATGTTGTACTTATTTCTTGTATGAGATGTCTATTACAAAAGTAATGTCACAATGGTTTCCTGAATATTAGAAAGGTGGGAGATAACAACCCCTGCATAACCTAGATATGATTTCATGCAATTTCTTTTTATGAGATTTTTGAAAGAAAAATTCATAAGGAAGCCTGGAAATGCATTCTACTAAAAGCATGTCATTGTGCAGCTGAGCAGTGCAGTTTTTGAAAACATGCTGGAGGGTTGTGACAAATGTAAAGGTAGATTCACTTGCAAGAGATCGTGAAACTAAATGGTGGACATGTTGAACACATTTTGGAAACAACTCACTTTTCAGGCATAGAACGAAAAAAATACATAACTACACATTCATTTTATAATATTTTAATTATAAATAAATGTGCAATAAACAAAACGAAAAGGATATGCCATTTCATGCACCACAATGTAACTGTTAAGATTAATTATTACAACTCAAACAAAAAGGAAAATTTCAAAATAACTGTATTTCTTGTGAATGGATTGTAATAACACAACAAAAACATTACTGTAAAATAACCCAAACCTGAGGAAAGTTTCACTTCTTTCTAAATGAATTTTTCAGATGGTTAAGAAGCTCTCTTAATGGAACTACACTGATGATCCATTATGTGCCCTTCAAACAAGTAGTTTTTTAACTGAACATGTAAGAATGCACAATCACTGAGTAATTTTCAACAAATTTTTAATAGCAAGGAATTAAAACCACTCACCTTTATTTCAGATGGGACATTAAATGGAACAGGTTTATTCTGATTCTCCAATGCAGTTTTCAATGACATTAACGTATTTTGATAATATTTATGAAAAGGAACTTGATGTTCCTCAGCCTTCTTTATTAAACCAACCGCTTCATCATACATTTCCTTTTGAACTGTGAGAATATTAAAGAAAAATAAAAACATGAAAGCTCATGCATTTCAAACCTGATAGCATAGAAATTACAATAAAGGAGGAAATAAAAATTATTCAATAAACAGGAAAGAACTGCAGGGAAAACCTATGAACGTAAACTGTTCTTATGTAATGTGCAAATTTGCATACACAGAAAATCTTGTTAATAATACAAAAGTAAACTTCTTAATTTTTCAATTAAAAAACTTATTACAAAAATATGCAGGATGAATACAGTTATGCGACTGCACATACATTAGAAAATCAACATTTTTACTAGATTGCACTCGATGATTTTGGGCTAAATGACAGCTAAATAGAAAAACACTACAGTCCGTTACTTTAGAAAAGGAGGCACTTCAAGGCCATTTCTTGTCTCCAAATTGACATGAAAAAGGGATGAATCCTTTAACTTCCTCTGTGTGGTGATACAGACAAACATTATGATCATAAATGAGGGGAAGATCGTTAAGGTAAGAGATTGTAAGAGCCATTTCAGTACACCACTGAAATGCAATAAACAAGTACAAAAGTCTGATCTACCTGATAAATATGAAATGCATGCATAAAGAAAATTATAGTCATCTGCAAGAAAATAAATAAATAAAAATCTGAAAAAGTTCCAATTTTAATGGTTTCCCAAAAAGGTTTTTTTAAAGTTTAATATAGTTTATCAGTAGAGATTATCATTGCAAATGCTCAGGTGGAATACGAAAACATTTTATCAGATACTAAATAAATATATATTTGAAAAGCGAAAAAATACATAATGCAATTCTGTAAAAGTATTTACTGTTTTTAATTACATATATCATGAATTAAATGCATTTTTGTTTAAATCAAACAGATCTAAAGTGAAAGAAATAAGAGGAACTATATCTATTGCTTTTTAACAAGCTTAATATGTTAATTACACAACAATTAATGAAACAGAACAGAAACAACACATTAATTGAACAAATTAATGAAACAGAACAGAAACAACACATTAATTGAACAAATTAATGAAAACAGAAACAACACATTTTCTGCAGACGGCGCAAAATCATATTTCAAAATTAACAGCTCATTTGTGCTAAAAGTATTTTTAGGAAATTCCATTTGCAGCATTGGTTTTCGAATTCAGTTCAGGATTGTATCCACTAAAATTTCCTACATTCTCAACATTTTTGCATTTGCAAGATTATAAGACCCTCATATCCAGTCTTCCAGGATAAAACTCTGATCAAAAGAGGAAGTGGGCTTGAGGAGTTAGCTTTCAGCCGTGCTTTAATGTAAATTAGCCATTCAAATCTGCCTTACCTTACCCCCCTCCCCCAAAAAATACTAGGCAATGAAAAATAAAGGAAAACTCAAAAGAATTCATTCCTTAGACAACAGCAGATTTTCTCTACTCTCTCTGCCGAAATTCAATATTTTTTCCTAATAAAAAAAATTAATATTATTGACAAAATACAGGTTGACTATTAATAAAATGTCTACAGAAGAAGTATTCATGCTGTATGGTAGTTAAAGATTCATTTTCCCTTTACATAGGCATAGCTGCCAAAAACACCCCACCCCAAAAAGTGCATGCATTGTATGGCAACACAATTTCAAAAGAACTTCAAATTTTCAAACTTGATTTAATTCACTTTAGAATTCATAATTAAGATGATTAAATTACATCATCATTACTTCATTACATAATTTGGCTAATTTTATTCAACTCTGTAAATTTTTAAAAGTGTTTATACTCATGAAAATCTAAATAGCATAGAAAAGCTTTTCTAAATGCTTTTATATACAATAAACTTAATATGCACATAAATCTTGGTTAAATTTAGCGAGGTAATTTTTATGGAACTGAAGCTAAATTATATACTAATATTCACCAATTTCATAGAATAAAAATTACTATATATTTAAAAGTGAGAAATTTTAAGCAATTTGTTTTGCTACTGAAGTCAGTTTATATATGGGTTCAAAATGATTTACAAATAATTCAACCATAAAAATCATATTTTATGGTAAATGAAAAATATTGTTTTATTTAATACTAATTAAAATTTCTCAATACCTCTAGCTACCTTGGAATTTTCTCGCAATTCTTTTAAGTCTGCTAAAAGCTAATCTGAATGGAAAGTCATTATCTTCCATTCAAAATTAACACTTTTATAGACCTTGTAGATAATCTCATCTTCAGTTCCATCCTTAATATGGCACATGGTGGGGGGTGAGGGGGAACAGTTTTTTGAAAAGCTAGATCATTTCAGGTCAAATCTTTGACCACATTGTTTTTCCCACTTCATGATCGATAACCTATTCATGCATTTAAGACTGCCAATCTTTCAGGATTGCTTTGACTGTTGATATTATCTATTCCATCCATTTTCCTAAAAGATTCTTCAGAAAGCTTACTATGTAAAGCATCAACTGGACAGATATAAAGTAGCCAAAAAATCACAACTCCATGACTTTATTTCCTGCTATCATTTCTTCACTTTTTTTGGTTTGAAATGAAACCCACAATACAGTAATGGTTTATTAAAAGACAGCTCTATTCCTCTTGTTTACTTTCTGCAGCTATTCCAAGAATGCTGTCCATCTCCATCCAACCTTCAAAATGAGTGCATATTAATATGTCATTTGGAAATTTTCTTCTGCTTCAAGAGATACTAAGTATGATCTGCATGCCATGCAACATAAAGCAATGCGAACCCTGTTTTCTTATGTTTAGTTATTTTTATAAAAACTGTCATTACATCTTTCTGTTCCACCACAAGATTCAAATGAAATCATATTTGTGAAAATTTCTAAACTTTATTTCAAATTCTGCTAGCAACACACCGATGACTTATGTTGAAACTCTATGGAACTTTATTAAAAAAAGGGGATTTGAATACAGAAATAAAATACCACTTTGAAAAATATGTGCTGAAATCAGACAAATATTTAAATGTTCTCAAAAACAGAGTAAAATTACTGATTTTTTTAAGAAATAAGCACATATAATATGTATGAAATTGACAGTTTGAATTATCTGAGTTTTTCAATTATATGTGACTTGCTTTCTCGGGTTAGTCCAGATAATCAGGAGTACAATATATTTTAATTTTTTAAATGTGTATTTTTATAATGTTACAATTAACATTAAATTACGAAGCTTAAAAGCTCAACTCTCTTCACAGGTCTTGACAATAGTTTTTGTCATAAAGTTTGCATTATTGTGAAAAGTTTTCAAAAAATGCATTTTCAAAACTTTACAACATTTATTTTTAAAGCATCTGAAATACTGAGCAATTCTACATACATACTAAAGCCAAGGACCAATTAATTTTTAGTGAGCAGAGCTAGTCGGGTCAAAAATGTACAACTGTATTGAACATTTCCTCAGTGATTACTGCTTTAGAGTTTACTCTGGAGGGAGACTAGTGATTCATGATATCCTTAAGGAGATTTAGCTTTACCTCTGCTGTTCTGCTAGAGCTATTTTATAACTGTTTATTTTTCAATAAGTTGCTACTTATTTCAATAAAGAGTAAATTTCTTCCATTTCTTGCAACAATATATTTGATTATTTTAATGGCATGCTATTAGCTTTAATACCTAAACAAAATCCTGCTCTAAATAAAATTCTTACCTAATATTTCCAGAAGATTTCCAAAGGCCCTCATTTTGGTTCTATTTTTCACTGCAGTCAGCTCATTTACTAATTTCACATACTGCATACCCAAGGTTACCTAATGGTTGACATATTAACATTAATTAACATCTTGTTATAATTAAATAAAATAAAGAGCAAATCTTGAAAAAAAAATATGGGACTTACATTTTCTGTCTCCTTCACACTTCGTAAAATCAGTGCATCTACTTTATCAAGAGAAGCTGGATGTAACTAAATAAATAATGAAAACAACATAATTCAGTCAATAACACAAAGAAATATACAGATGCAGTCTGACACTTAAGATTACAATCTGTTATTTTAAAAAGTTTACCACTACAGTTTTAAAGATTTTTTAATCATTTTTTAATTGAAACATATAAAAATCATAAGATTAATCTAATCTTGGTATGCCGATTTTAATTTTAACAGCTGAAACAATTTTGAGTAAACCAGTATGCTATGACTACAACTTTAAGAAGTCTCACTATATCACTGTATATTAACACGAGGAAGAAATTTATGGATTTTTTAAATAGAAAAAGAATTAGTGAAGACATAGCTGTACATTTACTTTACCGGATGACTTGCAGACAAGACTTACAACAAATATTTCCTTCATGTGGAATATTTCTCTCTTGCTATAATAAAAAATCTTTAAACTGAAAAAAAATGCATACATAGAACAGGTTTTCCCTTCTGATAATATAAAGAAAGAGTAAATTTATTTTGCGGAATGTCCGATCAGTGTTGCTGTTTTTTTTTTTTTTTTTTTTTTTTTGTGTGTGTGTGTGTATATAGATATATTTACAATATATACATAATTTACAATATATATAATATTGTAAATTAACTATTGTAAATTACTAAATTTAGTTCACACATTTTGAAAACTAAAAAAAAAAAAAAAAAAAAAAAAAAAAAAAAAAAAAAAAAAAAAAAAAAAAAAAAAACAAAAAGCTCTACAAATAATAAAAGAGAGGTACCAAATGAGAATAGGCAATAAAGTCCAATAGCTCAAAAGCATCTATTTTTGTTAGCTAAGCAGCTCCAAATTAGGCAACTTAGACATTTATCTCGAGTGCCAATTTTTGGAAAGTATCAGTCAAGTTGTTCTCAGAAGCAACAATGCCCTCATGCAGCAACAGAGAAAAATATTAAAACATAAGTACTATGTCAATTCGAGGCTGCCAATCTGATTTTCATTTAATCTCTTAGAATCAATCCACCTTTTGGAAGTTAAGAAAAATTCCTTAGTACAGAGGCAGTAGAATTAAAAGCATATAATTTGGTGCCCATTTTCAAAACCATTTTAATTTGAAGGAAGAAGCAACAATTCAGATACGAATATCTCCACAAAGGTTCAATAAATCGAGAAAAAAATATTTTCTAAGCTAATAAAACTAGTAGTTTTGAAATAGCTTGAATTTATGAATGACATATATTAAAATATTTAACTCACTACAAAAATATATTAATGGTCTGAAATATTAACAGACTGAATTTACACAGGCTGCTAGTCAATTGTACTGATTGCCTACAGTGTCAAAAATAACTCATATTCTACAAAACAAATCACGATAATTAGAATGATAAATGGAGAGTTTAACAACCAAGTTGACTGGACTGAGTTTAAATTTTCCACAATGCACAGGCACTGCAGATGCAATGTCTTAGATATAGAATCATTTCAAATTCATTAATCCAAAATTCTTCTCAAAAGTTGATAGAGGGGAAGATAAAAATGAGATTCTTGGATTTCATTCTCCTGTATTTACTCTCAATCAAACCTGAAATACAGAAAGGCAGAAAATCTTCATGTCCTTAGTCTAATTAACCTCTGAGTGGTGAGGGTTTTTGAATCTCTCACAATAACCTGTATTTAAACAGCATTTATTAGCTAAATTTGTAGGATTATTTATTTTAGTCTTTATTCTCATAAACTTACATTTATTAAGATGACATTTACATTATTAAAGAAAGTAAGAAAGCAAAATATCTTAAATTATAAGGTAATATGTTACCAGGTGACATAAATCACATGACCAGATGAAGCTGATCATGCCACTCAAAGAGTTAAGCAGTGCAATCTATACAAGTTTACTGATATAATAGCCATCAAAAGCCATATTTTGATATAAAAGAAATATTTTGCTAATTTCTCTGCATCAGATTGTTCAGATTTAGGATACATTAAAACTGCATTATTTTGATTATCACCTGTTCTCAAATATATGCAAGTTCTTTGTTATTGTTATTTGTTCTTTGTGCATACTGATTCTTGAAAATTGGGAACTATACTTCGTGACAAGCTAACCTGAGAACACATACAAGGTTAGAACGACCTTTTCACAGCTTTTCATCCTCTTCTTATTTATATTTGAGTTGAATTTGTTACCATATTTACTCATGCACCCTCTCCCTGCTACTAATTTTACTGTATAAAACTTGAGAAGAAAAAATTATGCAAATAACTTAATTTTCAAAGGTCACTGTTACAGTAAGAACAAAATAAATTAAAAGCATTCAAAGAATAAACTACTGGCAACTACTACAACATCATTTACTTAAAAGAAACCTACATTACAATAAGAATACCTAGAAACATTACACTATCAAGTATGATATCTTCATTTCTACTTCTCTATACCTCAAATCTCAGCCATTCTTATAGTTGTCCACTGCTAATCCCTAGCCTCAAATCATTTAATGCAGCTGGAAGCACTGCCTGTGTTGGCTGCTACAACTTGCAAGTCATTAGCCCCATTCACTTGCAATGCTCTTTCACACAGCCAGTTTGTATTAGGGAGAAAAGGGGATATGAAGCAGTTTCGCCTTCAGGACTGGTTCAGATGCACATCGTCTTCCATTCCTTAACCCATAAGCCACTATGAGCAATGAATGATGTCACAAACGGGAAACAGATTGGTAGATTTCAAACGTTTACTTACATCGTTTACTATCGCTATAGAATGCTATCGGAATTTAACTTTTTAATTAACAATTAAAAATGCAATTTATATACCAGACCAAATGATTAAAAGAAGAAAATAAATCACATATGCTGCTGAGCAGTTTAAAATAAAATGTTTTGTGGCTGCTAAAATTTCAAACTTTGCTTTTTGAAAAAATGAATAAAATGACAAATTAATAGCATTAATATTGATTATAAATGCTTTAATACTGATTATAACATTTTAGAAAATATATATAATTAATTCATCTGTTAAAATAGTTTTGAATGTGTTTTATGAAGATTTTAAATAAAAGCTTGTAATTTATGTTTTATTAACCAAATGAATAGCACTAGGTTTTATTTTATACTTTATATATAGATGTAATGAAATTCAGTAATAAAACTTTTAAGAAATTTGAAATGATTTAATGACCATATAGACAGCTTATATTCTTGAAACTGCGTTTTCTCATTTTGCATTTTTTTTAATAAATATTTTTATTTAAAGTCCTAAAACTTATATAGATGTGGCCTAAATTATTTAATATTTTTACCACTTAATGAAAATTATATACTTTACAGAAACAAGAATGGGTTTTGCAAAATATTGAAAAAGAATTATTTGAAGTGCAAATGTGATTGAGATCATATTTGTCAAAGTTTTTGCATAAAAATGAGTTTTTATTTTTTCTCAGAAACTAATCATTAATCGCAAAATTGATCCTTAAAGTTATTAAGAGCTTTCTAATAAATATAATAAGAAAATATGGGGGAAAATCATTGAAAATTGTAGGAGAAAAATGACAATTTAATTAATAATGAAAAAAAACAAAAATTACTGGCAAAAAATTTTTTCACAGCTTAAAATTATTGTCTTACAAAACCATTTAATAACAATTCAGAAGTCAAACAACAAAATCAGCGTTATACCTACAAAATTTTCAACAGGACTAGTTTCGATGGTTTTACCGAACCATCATCTTCAGCTGCAAAAACCGCAAATGAACAGGATAGGAAATAATGATTAGATAAGATAAGAAAGCCTGGACAAGAAATAAGCAAGTGGCGCCATCTGTTGGCGAAACCAGAACTAACACATAATTTCTCTAAAAGCCGAAGGCAAAATTTGGATTGGAATTAGGATCGTTAACTAGAACAGAAAGATTTTTATGAATGTGAAATGCCTCTAGAAAATCCAGTTCTCCAATGGAAGATGTTTTTTGAATAATTTTGGCAGCAGAAAAAATTGAAAGTGTGATTTTTCGGACCAACAATGTTGAGCAACAGAAGACTTCTGTGTGTTTCCTTTTTTCTAACATATGCCTCATGTTCTTTGACGCGAAATTTTAAGGCTCTCTTAGTTTGGCCAATGTAAATTAAACCACACTGGCAAGGAATCCTATAAATACCCCAGGAATTCATATCCGGAATGGGGTCCTTGAGTATAGGAGCTCGGAATTTTATTGATGGGAGACTAAACAACCCGAAAGTTAAATTTCTGCAAAATATGTGCAACTTTATAGCTAATTGATGGAAAAAGAAGGAATGACAACAGAATTTTTATAAATCTCCTAAAATAAGAGTGTGGCTTTTAGTGGGTTGAGATGAGAATTTTTAACTGCTTGATTAATAATGTTGGGTGAAAAGCCCCTGTCAATAGCTATTGCTTTTAAATAATTTAGTTCTTCATCAAGGCGAATTGGAGGAGCAAACTTGAAGAGCACGGAAAACATAGAATAAAATGAAGCTAACTTTTGTTTAGTCGGATGACATCATTTAAAGTGTGGTGGAAGGCAAAACCGGATGAAGGTTTACGGTAAACCATGTAGTACTGAAGTTGGATGTGTTACGTGTGACCAGAATGTCGAGAAACGGAAGAGAATTGCAAGTCTCAAGTTCAAAAGTGAACTGAATAGCAGGATCAATAGAATTCATTGTTGAAAGAACTTTATTTTAAATCATCTTTATTACCTTCAAACAGGGTAAAAGTATCGTCTACGTAGCGGAACCATGCCGGAAAGTTTAAAGTTTCAAACAATTTTGATTCATAATAATGCATGTAGATATCAGCCAGGATGGGGACTGAGGGGGCTTCCCATGGCTAATCCCTCAGTTTGTTTGTAATATTTATTTTGGAAAACAAAATGTGTGTTGTTTCAAACAGAGTTGAGTGAGAGAAATTAGCTCCTCAATTTCGATGCAAGAGAAATGAAATTCGCGAAGTCTGGTTTCTAGACATCTTAATGCACCCTCCACTGGGACATTGGTGAATAATGATTTTACATCAAAAGAAACCATGAGTAAATTACTCATGGTTTCTTTTGATTAGTAATTTACTCATGGTTTCTTTGATGTAAAATCATTATTCACCAATGTCCCAGTGGAGGGTGCATTAAGATGTCTAGAAACCAGACTTCGCGAATTTCATTTCTCTTGCATCGAAATTGAGGAGCTAATTTCTCTCACTCAACTCTGTTTGAAACAAACACATTTTGTTTTCCAAAATAAATATTACAAACAAACTGAGGGATTAGCCATGGGAAGCCCCCTCAGTCCCATCCTGGCTGATATCTACATGCATTATTATGAATCAAAATTGTTTGAAACTTTAAACTTTCCGGCATGGTTCCGCTACGTAGACGATACTTTTACCCTGTTTGAAGGTAATAAAGATGATTTAAATAAAGTTCTTTCAACAATGAATTCTATTGATCCTGCTATTCAGTTCACTTTTGAACTTGAGACTTGCAATTCTCTTCCGTTTCTCGACATTCTGGTCACACGTAACACATCCAACTTCAGTACTACAGTTTACCGTAAACCTTCATCGGTTTGCCTTCCACCACACTTTAAATCATGTCATCCGACTAAACAAAAGTTAGCTTCATTTTATTCCTATGTTTTCCGTGCTCTTCAAGTTTGCTCCTCCAAATTCGCCTTGATGAAGAACTAAAATTATTTAAAAGCAATAGCTATTGACAGGGGCTTTTCACCCAACATTATTAATCAAGCAGTTAAAAAATTCTCATCTCAACCCACTAAAAGCCACACTCTTATTTTAGGAGATTATAAAAATTCTGTTGTCATTCCCTTCTTTCCATCAATTAGCTATAAAGTTGCACATATTTTGCAGAAATTTAACTTTCGGGTTGTTTATTCTCCCATCAATAAAATTCCAACTTCTATACTCAAGGACCCCATTCCGGATATGAATTCCTGGGGTATTTATAGGATTCCTTGCCAGTGTGGTTTAATTTACATTGGCCAAACTAAGAGAGCCTTAAAATTTCGCGTCAAAGAACATGAGGCATATGTTAGAAAAAAGGAAACACAGAAGTCTTCTGTTGCTCAACATTGTTGGTCCGAAAATCACACTTTCAATTTTTGCTGCCAAAATTATTCAAAAAACATCTTCCATTGGAGAACTGGATTTTCTAGAGGCATTTCACATTCATAAAAATCTTTCTGTTCTAGTTAACGATCCTAATTCCAATCCAAATTTTCCTTCGGCTTTTAGAGAAATTATGTTTTAGTTCTGGTTTCGCCAACAGATGGCGCCACTTGCTTATTCTTGTCCAGGCTTTCTTATCTTATCTAATCATTATTTCCTATCCTGTTCATTTGCGGTTTTGCAGCTGAAGATGATGGTTCGGTAAAACCATCGAAACTAGTCCTGTGAAAATTTTGTAGGTATAACGCTGATTTTTGTTGTTTGACTTCTGAATTAGTATTTATTTCGGCGTGTTATTGTGTGTCTTAATCATTTAATAACATTCATAAAAGTATATAAAAGTTTTTAAAATAAAAAAAAAATTGTTCAAAAGGTACCAAGTCCCCTTATCGAGTTGAAGCTTATATGCACGTCTTTAGTTTTAATTTGAACGGCATTTCTGGAATACCCAGTATCAGATAACCTTGTCCATACTTGTTTACAAATTTCCATATTTCGTACGGTTCTATGAAATTTTTTTTTGGATGACATCGCACATTCAGATATCTACCAACGCGATTGTTTCGTGACAGTCTAGCAAGCAGTCAGTTGTACGTCAGCCATGTTATTTGTTAAAATTAAGTTAACCATGCGATCGCGCAGTGCAGTATGGGAAATCTCCCCATTTGCCCTGCTCGCGAGAGGTAGGAACGTTCTACCAAATTCTACCTCCAATTCGAAGAAGCAGTTAATGCTTGTCGCCATATGAATGGGACACACTGGAAGAACTAGTTTTTGCTACCGGTCGAAACTGCTCTTGTCAATGGGGCTATTGTCATCATTGCAGTTTTCATCTCTGTTCCCATTCAGGATATCTTACCATGCACAATGATCTTCAAAGTTATCAAGAACATTAAATAAACTTAGTTTTCTTGAAGCTCTTCAGTGTTATTGTTTTATCATTTAGATCCCATGAATCCAAATTCCATGAATAAATCAATCAGTAAGATGAAAACAATCACTATGTGGACTATTCTGCTTTAAACTTTAGGAGTGCTCCTTTTCTGAACATTTTGAGGAAGGGGGGAATTATGTGAATTCCTAAGAGTTTTTGTAACCTTGTGGGTGAAAAATATATACATAAAAATGGCTTACTGAATGGTTTACCAAAGAAGGACATGACAGCAATCCCTTTTTGTGTAATAAATTATAAGCTAATATGTACCAGGTGCCAATGCAATCTATATAACAAAGTTTGCTGATAAGCCATCAAAAACCATACAAATATTTTGAAGAAAATATTTAATTATGCTCTTTGGGTTTCAGTTATGGCATTGTGAAGTTAATTAAATATGCTCTTAATCATTTTAGCACTTATGTGTTACCCAAGATGATTTCAAGTTTGTTATTACTATTATAACATATGAAGCTCAATTTCATGGATAAGATTTATTTTACTGTTTACCTATAATATTTGCTTCTATAAATTTGCAGAAGAGTGGAATTTTGCTAAAATTGTGGCCATTAAAAAAAATCTCTATTTTATATAATTCAAAATGTTAATAATGAATACTTTGATATTCATAAAAACACTTAATTTACACAAAATCAGTAACTGAAAGCAAACTAAAGTGAACATAGCTCAATTAAACAAAAAATAATGGATATTACTCGAACCAAAGAGGCAAATGGCTAGTTCTATTAATTTTTAATACCCGTGATAGAAATTATGATGCATAGGTTGACAACGCTACTCACAGAATGCAACTTCTTCAAATGCATTTTTGCAAAGTGAAAACAATATTGCCTATAGGATACTAATTATAAGGCAACATATTTTATATACTGTATTAGAATAAAACAGCTATCTCCAGTTACTTTTAAATTCTCCTATTAGGATATTACACACACTTATAAGTAAATAAAACTACAATAGATATATTTAAGAGCTTTTACAACTTCAAATGTATACATTTCATTTATTCCTTCAAATACAGTCAAAAGTCGTTAATCCGGACTTGTCGGGACTTTGGCGATTCCGGATTATCGATTTTTCCGGATTATAGATCACCAGTTTAAATCTGGTAAGATGGCATGCAGAAATTATAAAATTAAAAATATGAAACCGTAATTTATGAAATAAAGAACAATTATGATCTAAAGGGTATCAAAAAATTTACAAAAAAAAAAAAAAAAAAAAAAAAAAAAAAACTTAATTTATTTGTTTACTTTATTAAACATTTCTTTCAATGTAAGTTGTTTAAGTTGCTTCGTTTTTTATGGATAATACATTCTCTTTAATTATATAACAAAACATAATTTCGTGTTCAGTTACAAAGTTCCGCTGTTCAAGTCCTATAATTGCTGTGTCGAGAATACCGACTAATTTGTCAATCAAAATTTTTTCTTTTCAATAACCTCTGTCACTTTCTTCGCTATCGGAAGCGAATTATAATGACGAGGAATTTGATTTAAATCATATCAAAGATGGAGTACATCGAGATGAAATACTACATTTAGTATCGAATTATAAGCCAAATAAAATAAATTCAATTCATTGCGAGCCGCAGTGTTAAAGATAAACAAAGTTTAGATAAAAAAAGGATATGCCTTTATCCATTTTTATTATGCAATTCCACTTTTTGTTTAATGGACTTCGAAACATACTTTCGCTTTGTAGATCCTTTACATATTAGTAAATATATATCAGAAATTCTATTTGACAAAATCGAAAGTTCAAGCTTACTTTTATAAAATTGCTCTAACAGTCTGCAAAAAATAATAAGCTGAATCCAATTCAAAGATTAAGGAAAAACGCAATCTGCAACATTAACTGAATTAAATAATTTCAGCTTAGCTTATACCGTCCGTTATACATTAAACGCGCATTCGTAAACGTATTTTGCGCACACGCATATTCGCAGCCGTAAAGGTGCGTCAATGCGACGCATGCGCAGAAAGTTTGTAGCTTTGAGGTCCGGATTATAGATCATTCCAGATTACGGGTGTCCAAATCAACGACTTTTGACTGTATATACATTTGCCATTATTATATTTCACTACACTTTCAATTATGTCAGTTCATAAACTTACAATAAATAAAATTTTATGCCAACATAAAGCACAGGATACCTGTAACAGTTCACGAGCCTTGTCATAGTTTTCATTTATAAAATAATGAATTCCCACAAGAATGCTTGACAGATAAAACTTTCCTTCACAATGCTTTTCTGCAACTTTGATAGCTGAAATACCAAATATTTCAGTAAAAAACATGCAAAAATTAAGAAAAATTATCATAGAACTGAATATTATTAAATAAAAATACCTACCTCTTTCTCTTAAATCAGGCACTTTTAGTAATTCAAAAAATGCATACGAAGAGAATGCCTTTTTCCCCTCCGGATGTTCAGCAGACTTTTCAAAGTCACATATTACATCTTCATGTTTCCCACTAAAACCACAAATTGTAAAACAAACATAGTTTCACTTGTTTTGAAATATTTCACACACAGCAGAATTTTTTAAATTGAATTTAATTACCTACAGGTAATTCTTGTTTAGTTTTTTTTTTTTTTTTTTTTTTTAATTTTTTTATTTTGTATTTGTAATTTTTTTTCATAGTATTTATTTCTGTGTGTATAGTTATGATTTTAGTATCCTGCCTGTTTAATTTATTTCTATTAATGTGATATTTTTTATATTAATTTACATTAAAAACAAGTACATTAAATACACAACTTCAAAAATTGAAGTCATTTATATATATATATATATTGTAAAATTAGGCTTAACTGCTGAAAATGTGCAGTGACGGGTCCGGTCCCGTGACTACACTTCGTTCTCCATGCGCTGGTCCTTAAGGGGTTAATGTGCATAATGCCAATATATTTATACTTATATTTCAATATTGAATATTTCAAGATCTTAAATCAGTTGCACAAAAGATTTTATAAAATACAACAAATTAGGGCAAAATATATTAAAATTTATACTCTTCTTAAAATTTTCACATTGTCCTAATTTTTAAATCATTTCTTCAGAGATATAACTTTTCATTATCAATAAATTTCAAAACAAAATTAAATGAAGCTAGAAAAAGTGTAAAGAACCGAACCACAAACTCAGGGGGCGGCCGTGGTGAAATGAATGTAAAATATCATTTTATTATCAATATAAATTCATTTTAGTCATGAAAGAGTTAAACCACTAAAGGATTTAATAAGCAGAAGAATTTAAGTTATACAGAAGTCACTAAAAATTTAGGGATTTTATTTCCTTATTTATTCCTGGCAGGTATGTACTAGGCTTTAGCAACAACATAGTTTTTAAGATACCTTGTAAATTGTGTAGAGTTGAATGAATATCAGTAAGTGAAGATTGTGTACTCCTTAGCCCTCTTAATAAGATTCATTAGCATGCATCATTGCAGTAATAGATACAAAATGTAATTTATCATTAATAGCAAAGCTAATATGATTTAATGGTTTATTACTTTATAATACATTCGTCTCCATTAAGAGTGGACCACCATGAAGGCAAACACATATTTATTACAGAGTTAAGTACAATGCAAGTGTACAGGAAAAATGGCAACAATGACAGTTCAATTCAGTTTTCAAAAATAAATTAATTATAATACATGTAATAACTCATAATAAGCAATTACAGGCAACAAATGTTACATAGACCAACTGATACTGAATGTATGTTTGAAGAATGTCAGTTCATGTAGTTCTGAAAAGCTGCCAATTTTTATCTATTGCAGGTGCAGATAATTTGTGGTTTGTCAAACCTAATATGGAACCTATGGACAAGATATGTTTAGTAGGTGACAAATTCAGTAAACTTGTCAGTCGCAGAAAAAAATCAAACACGGGCCCATTTAGAAATTGCCATTGTTAGCCCATTGTTAAACATTGACATAAATTGCTGTATCTACATTGAATAGTGTAATTACATGCTATCTGATTCATGACTGGTCTTAGGCAAGGTGTTTAAAGTAAGAGACCATTCCTATCTTCTGAACAGCAATGGTAATTGCTGAACATACCAAAAATTTGTTCTAAACACAAGCACAATTCTGACTACTTAGGCACCACATACCATAATCAAATACTATATTAACATGGCAATGCATAATGCAAAATTCACTCACTCTTGTCACCATATTGCTACCACATGCGGATAAGACTATAAGAATGCTGAAAACAGAAGTAGAATTTGTTTAAATTTTTGGAGACTGGGACATATATATTCGGGGTGATATGCAAGTCCACTGAAGTCTTGAGATACTTTCTCATGCATCACAGGAATTGGTATTGTGAGGAGACCTGAGGTTAAGACTATTTTATAACAATCCACAGAGTGCACTGTTTTGTTGTGGCTGCTAGTAGGGAAGCAGAAATTACCTGTCTTTTGAACCCACATGAAATATATATGAATTTGATATCTTCCAGAAAATGTTTCATTAAGGAATATTTTCTTACTTTATTCTCACATAACTGCTTTTTAAGATCTTATTTTTGTTTTAACTTATGTTTGTTGCAAATATATTAATCCTTTTTACTAGTATATTCATCATATTTTCATCCCAGAATGAAATAATGGCTACATGGAAAAGGTATTCAACCAAACAGGAAATTTCAGATACTACTGTACAGTACAATGAACTCAATGAGGTATTTGTGGATGAAATTCTAATTGCTGTGAAGAAAGTTTTAACAATAACAGTGAAACACAGTTTTCTGCTTCAACAGATCTAGGAACTACAAAACTAAAACTTTAATGTTCAACTCCTACTTCAAGAAATGAAACAGAAATTCCTAAATGTTCCAACTGGTTATCTAACCAAACTGGTTTACTATGTTCAGTCGCAAATTAGTATGACATGGAATTTCCATGGGAAAAAAATATGCAATAATTTTTCTGCTGTAGAAAAAGTAATCATACATGATTTTGCTGTGAAGTCCGAACTGAAACTTCAATTCTGTAATACTTGTAATATATGAAGATAATCAAAGTGCTCTACAAAATCAGAACAACTGTAGTATTTAAAATTATAAAAAAGGATACACTGTTTAAATGAAAGATTTGCATACTGTAAATCAATGTATTTAGAATTGTCTGAACTGCCATGTATCAGTATATTTTACTCTAATTGTTCCATTTACTTTCCAGGATATAATCTATGTCCAAGATTTAAGTATATATATACAGTAAAGTCCAGAAATCCGCCAAGCTTGGGACAGAGGTTGTGCGGATTTCAGGACAGAAAAGATAAATCATAATTTTCAGACTAAAAATGCAAAATAAATAAGGCATATAAGATACATTTAATTAAATTATTATATACATTATTTTGCAATAACTATTATATGCATTATTTTATATTACATATATGATTATAGTAGTCATTGATATATACACAGCATTGGGTTGCCGATTTCGCCCTATGCAAAGATTTCTGGTTTTGGATTCTGGTGTTAGAATCACTGTTGCTGTAAAATTTCAACAGCTTTTCTTTATTTTTCCGTATATCATACACAAGCGTGTCGCAATTCCATACGATTCTGTTATAAACTGAGGAGTAGCACCTTTCTCCATCTTTAGCAGAATTTGCGCTTTTTGCATTACCGTCAATGCAACGTGTTAACGTTTTTCAACGTTGCAAGCAGTAAAATCATGAGTGTGTTTCTTATCTGTAATTGCATTAAAAAGGGTTGAAATTTAAAATATTCTTAATTTATCCACAAAATATCCCAATAAATAAAAGGCAGCACTAAATAATCTCGTGAAATAACAAAGCTCAGAAGATACAACAATGTGATTCGTGAACTTGAAAGAAAAGCTGAGTGAATCGTCTGCTTTTTTACCTCAATGCAGATTAGAGGGGAAAAACTTTTATCATAATGTCAATGATTTGGTATTTCCATTATGACTCGTTATTATTTGGTAATTATGACGTCATTATTCGGTAAATATTTTTCTTCAATATTTCGTACTCAATGTTGCGCTTTCCGGAACCAATAAACTGAATGTTTATGTTTTGAGAGGCAACGCGAATTTCAGGTTGGCAGATTTTCAGTATTTGACTGTATTAATATATAAAACAAAATGCTTTCTTTTGAACAATATTCTCTAGCAGAAGCATACATTTTATTTGAAGATGAAATTATATCTAGCCTTTAGTGAGAAAACTGCAGTGATCTAACTGCAAAGTGAAAACATTTCAATTAAACATTTCCAAGATTCTAATACTTGGGGCTCTGGAAATGAATGGAAATGCAAGACTTCTCGTTTTGCTGCCTACCAATAAAAAGGCACTAATCAACTCCTTTTCAAGATTCTATACGATCATTTCTTCACCTCTTTCTTTAACCACAGCATAAAAAGCTCCAAGACAAGACACTCGGCCATTTTTCAAGCCCATATGAAAAGATTAAAAGAATGATGTCATGGCATTTGTCCTTTCATCTGTAACATTCCAGGTATTATGACAGCAAAAAATGTTAATGTCTGCTGTGCACAGTTAAAAATAGTAATTCATCAATGCTGCAAAGAACACTGAAGCATATAAAAAGAGATTGATACAATACTTCTGATTTTTCAAGTTAGAATTTGAGGCTGGTTGTATGATATGTAATAGGCATGCATATAACAACTCTCATTTGCCTCTCAGTGGTGTGTAGGTGTTAGGATCCTTCATAATGGTGAGTTTATCCCTCCTTAAGTCTGCATTTTCCTTACTCTATTTAAATTACTACATATACATTACTAAGCCCAATAAATCCAACATGTTTATTAATTCCTTGAGTTTACCACAGACATATATTATGACTCTGACAAAGTGACATCTTATATCAATGGAACAATGCATCCCAATTTTTCCACAGTCAAAACTGGAAAACTGTTGGTTCTATGTTGGTTGCAGATGAAAGAACTATCTGTTGCCATATTCTTTGAAAAAGCATTACTTCACACAGTTATGAAAATTATTATAAGCAAGCATATTTAATAGTCACTTTTCAATGTCCATTCTAATTCTAGTTCTAGGAAGCATGTTTGCTCTATGATTTGCAAGTATGATGTGCTTTTAATCATTTATATGCCCTCCTATGGCATACATATCATTCAGGTGGATGCAATTTTCCTCGAGTTCTAATTTTAAAAGCTAGCATTATAGTTAATACTGTAATCTCAAGACATAGAGTATTGCTTTTGGACAAAGTATTTATGGTTACAATGACAAATGTTTACTTGCCCTAATTCACTGAGAATTTTTACAAAAAAGAGATTTATGGTTTGATTCTTTCTTTTTCATTTTTACAACTGCCTCTTTGTGATTTATGCAATAATTACTACAAAGTATTTCAACAACTTATATACCCAGAAGAAATATTTATCTTCATACCACATTAAATAAAACTTATTATAAAAGAAAATTAAAACTTATTATCAAATAAAGTTATTTTCTACAATGCTATGAAATTACATGCAATGGGTTTGCTATGTCATTCATACTATCAAAAACAAAACCATTTGATAAAACTTTGAAAAAAAAAAATATGAAATCTTTATTAGACACATTTCACACAATTATATTCAATTCAAAAGTATTGATAAATGAGGTACAAATTATATAATTATGTGATTAAATTCTAAAACTGCAATGAAAATACGCGAGGAGACTCACAGAATAAGTTCTTGGGGATATTTAAAAATGTTTTTGCTTTCCGTAGCAGCTAGGCTAACTGCTCAGGGAATGCAAGTCACTTTAGTAAAAAAAAAAAAAAAAAAAAGATGCATTAAAAACTATAATAGAAAGGTATAGATAAATTAATTACATACCTAAAAATTAATGTTTTGTAATAAAAATGTTGAGATTGTACCTTCCTCTGAGTAAAAGCAGGCAAATTAGTAATTACTTCATTTACTGAGTCTACATCCCCATTTTCACAATATTTTTCCAATAATGGCTTTAAAATCTCAGTAGGGTATTCAATGATGTAACTCATTACTTGAACATTTGGAGTAATAGCTAAACAAATAAACAAATAAAATCACTGAAAGTAAAACAACTGCATATATCAAACTAAAATTAATTAGGCAGAGAATGTTTACCTTTAACACGCCTATTTTGCACAAGTAAATCAATAAATTGAGATAGTTCTTCAAAACTTAGCAAACGAATATAACCTTTCTTCATCCTAATAAAATAGAAAAACGTAATAAATTTAGAGTAAATATTTATAATGTCACAAAAGTTACATTAAATGAAATTTTAATATTAAAAATTTCCTTCTTTTTTAATAAAAAGTTAAATATTGCAGTACATGATCTTTTGTTAGCTCCTTTAGAATAAACAAATTATAATAAATTATTTAAACTAGTTTGCATAATTAATCACTTCATCATTGTTTGATGTAACAATGTTACCTGGAAGAATGTTGTTTACGACTTTAGGAATGACACTAAAATTTGTTGTTGACTTTTGAGTATTTCACTTTCTTCTACATTCAACTTGTTTCTTTGTTTTATTAGCATAAAATTTACATGATACACAAAAGACAGCAAATCCATTAAAAATTTAGATACTTTCAGTTAACAGGGTACCAGTAATAATTGTGCACCAAATCCTACAATTTATTTATTTCACTACATGAATAGCTAGACAATACCATTTCAAATAAGGAGGAGAATGAACTACAAGTTTCCTCTGCCATACTTAATTGCTTTTTTTTCGGGGGGGGGGGGGGATTGAAGTAAATTTATTACAATTTATTCAAAAAATTATCAATGTTTTGTTTTTTAAATGGGTTTGATTTTTTAAGCTCACCACACTTACTAAAATCTATCACCTTTAAATTCCAATCAAGTTTTTCCAAAATGATTAAAAAAAAATACTCTAATAAATTTAATCCATTTATTTCAATTTTTCTCGAAGGATAATGTTGCTTCCTTTTTCATTATTTATTTCTCCTAGCTAAATGAAATATTCCAATCTCATGGCACTGAATATTTTCATTTCTTGAAGAACAGAGACAAGGTGTAAGTTACTTTACATAGTGTTTTTCTACTTAACTGGTGCCAGTCTGGGGTTGAGTTCAAATCGACATGCATAAATCCAACTTCAGCAATATGAAAACATAATGATAAAAAAAGGGGGGGACAAAGAAAAAAATAAGAAAGAAGAAAAAAAGAAGATTTAATATTATATAAACTTTTAAGATATTTACAAAAACATATACACATCAGAAGTAAATGATATATTATTATATGAACTTTAGGACACTAATTAGTACAATCTAAATGATTCATAACTATGACAAATTTTAGAATATTTAATAAGACAATACATACATTACATCAAAAGTCAGCAGCACAAAAAACTAATCATCATTAATACACTTCAGGATAATTACAGAAACAGCCCATATATTACATCAGGAAAAAGATAACAAGATAAAAGTACAAAATGATAAAAGTAAAAAAGGATTCAGCATACAATTTAAGATATTTATCAAGATATTATCCTTAACATTAAAAATGCAATTAAAACAAAAGGATTCATTGTTAAATAAATGTTAGAAACTAGAATACTAAGACAATATGCACATCTCTGACAAACATTTGCTTAATGAGAAGAGCTTCCTGTTTTGTCCAGAGATTAATTGTCAATTAAAACTTTGAGGAAAGGTGTTGCGGAAATCCCCTGGTGAGGTTTCCGTACACAAGGAACAGTAAATTATCACATCCTAAGGCATTTTCAAAAAAGACGTTAAGAACAAGAAAGCGAGGGGCTTTTGTGTGAGTTTTTTATGCAGTGAAAGACTTGAGAGAAGATGCAACCTGCCTCGTTGCCGCATCCAGCAACCATTGTTTTGTATTATGACTGTAATGTTTTGATTATTTTACTTAGTCGTATTCAAGAAATTCTTATTAAGTTTTAAAATAAATATTTAAAAGACAACTGCTCTTTTTCTTTCATCCAACACAGGTGTTCAGACGTTACAATACACATTGACCAAATACATGCATTTCAGATTTATACTTTTCAATAGAAATTTAAATTTGATGCATGAGTTCAATCAGTTCATTTTGTAAGCAAGTTTCAACAATTACACTTGTTTTCAGAAAAGAAAACAATTAAAAAAGTTATTAAAGCGAGATAAAGTTCTATTACTTTTTCATGCTATTTATAAGTATTTAATGATAATTTTATTGTTTTTGATATTTATTGACAATAATAAATCAGTTTGATGAAGCTGACTTATAATGATACGAAGAAAGTTACCTATGGATTAATATAAGTATGAATAAGAATGCAAAAAATATGTCTCACTTTTGTAGTTCAGAGAGAGCAGTATCAATATCTTCTTTGCGTAAACTATTTAGAAATTCTGCTTTGGCCAAATGTGCAGAACTTTCAGTTGAGAAACTTGCTTCCTCTGCAGAATGAGTCAAAGGAGCATGTTTCATATTTCTTTTCAGTAAACTATCATATAATTTTTTAGTTTGCTCATTTGGTGCAATACCATCTTCTTGCAAATGCTTCCATACATCTAAAGCCTTTTCATAATCATTTCTATTATCTAAAAAATAAGTACAAATAGTATGTCAAACAGTTTACATGTTCATTGCAAAAACACTTATTTTTCAAGACTTTTCTACAGAGGTAAGTATAAAGTATATACAAGTAATTGCTCAGATGTTTATCTGCAAACAATTTATTTAAGAAGACTGAAAAGATATGCATAGACCAGAACTGTTGAGTGTTATGAAAAATATTAAGAAAGATGTCTTCAGAACGTTTCTTGTAATATAGTATTATATAATTAATTAATATAATAATCACTTTAATTAATTAATATCTATAAATAGATATTAATTAATTAAAATGCAAATACAGTCAAAAGTCTTTAATCCGGGCATCCATAATCCGGAATGATCTATAATCCGGACCGCAAAGCTATAAGCTTTCTGTGCATGCGTAAACACATAATGAGTTTATGCATGCACGTTTAATGCATAATGGACGGTATAAGCTAAGCTAAAATTATCTAGTTATCTATTTCAGTTAATGTTGCAGATTGCGTCGTTCCTTAATCTTCAAATTGGATCCGGCTTATTATTTTTTGCAGACTGTTAAAGCAATTTTATAAAAGCAAGCTTGAACTTTCGATTATGTCAAAAAGAATTTCCAATTCTGGAGCAGCCAAAGGATCTACAAAGTGAAAGCATGTTTCGATGTCCATCAAACAAAAAGTGGAATTGCTGGAAAAAATGGATAAAGGCATATCCTTTGTTTCTCTAACCATTCCGAAATCTGTTTATCAATTTCACGCTGCTCTGCGGGGGGGGGGGGGGGGGACGTCGCGGCATGCATTGAACTGGAAGTTGATTTGTCAGCACTATCCTTATCTTCAGGGCAGATGTTTTTATTTTATTCGGCTTATAATTCCTTACTAAATGTAGTATTTCATCTCGATGTACTCCGTCTTTGATATGATTTAAATCAAATTCTTCGTCATTATAAATATCACTAATACATATCAAATAGTTTTCTGGTTGCAATTTTCTAATTTCGACTATGCTTAATGTATGTTTTACGCATGCGCACATTGAAAGAAATGTAAATAAAGTAAACAAATAAATATTAAGCTTTTTTTTTTTTTTGTAAATTTTGATACCCTTTAGATCCTAAATGCTCTTTATTCCATAAATTACGGTTTCATATTTTTAATTTTATAATTTCTGCATGCCATCTTACCAGATTTAAATTGATGATCTATAATCCGGAATCGCCAAATCCCGACGAGTCCGGATTAAAGACTTTTGACTGTAGTTAGAAACAGATTTTCTTAAAACATTATGTGTTTCACAAATGCTTGTGAAACTTCTAAATATAACTAAATGTTGATCAAAACAGTGAATCATATTCCTTAAAATAAAATGCAGCGTATATTTCATTTTAACTACACAATGATATATGATAGTAAAATTCTGGCACTAATAGTACAAGCATATATTTTACTTTAGAAATATGAAAATTCAAGACAGAAGATTTGAAAACATAATAATCCAAGATAAAAAATACTAAAAATTCAAACAGTTTCAATATGTATGTTTGACAAATGCATTTAAACACTGGAACTCAGTTTTATCTGATTGCAGAGTTTCATAGCTTCAAAGAGTACTAAGAATTTCCCAAAAGCAACTTTAATAGTTTTTAATTTTAACTTATAAAATTAGTAGAATTTCCCAAATTCATCTCAAAACTTATAGATAAATTAGAAAATTGTCTTCTGAGATGAAAATTGAAAAATCTGAACAAAACAAAAATCAGAATTTAAACATGTGAATATGTTCCTTTGAAGGAAAGGGATATATAAAACAGCTCTATTTTTGAAGTAAGGATTACAAAGAATTATTATTTCATTATTATTTATTTTTAACACAGTACTCATGATTCACCACAGGTACTATACTATCTGTCATCAACTAGAGGAACGTCTGTGCTGCATTTTATAACGATGCAAATTTATATGATCACTTTTGCAAATTTTAGGATATTTTTTTAAGATTTTGGGAATATCAGACCTTTTTCTCAAATGTGGAATAAATGCATGAATTTTGAATTTTTTTCCATTACTTTAAAATTTCTATAATCATTTTTTGAATATTTTTATGTTTAAATATTTTCCCCCTGCTTTCAACTAGAATTCTTATAAGAATAACATTGCAGAATATTCCTATTCCAAAATATGCAAACTAGAAGATTGAAATCTGGACTACATTAAGGTCTGCTAGACCTCTAGCATGTGATTTCTTGACATTATATGAAATCAACTTCCATTCCCTATGAGTGAGAAATAATAATGAAGCCAAAGTGATTTATTCTTTAATGTGTTATTTAAAAGTTTAAAACATGTGTTTAAAACACATTTAAAGGCTGAAAATGATAAATCTGTTGCTGGGTATATTGACCGAAGCGCAGTGTTCCCTGGATATTAATGTATCTCGCTCTTAAACTTTGTTTTATAATAAATTCTGGATCACATAAATATCTACAGAAGAGAAATCAGAGGAAAGAATAGACAGGAGAACTCCACTAGCTTCAGGTAAGAAGAAATATTCAGGACAGATCTCAACAAGTAATATCACAATCTGAGTAGTGAGACACTGTCACATGTTTGGAATGCTGCACCTTACTGGATGTACATTATTTCTGCTACCTGAATTTGGTGGAGCAACTTATCTGACTATTTTCATACAGTGCAATATATATCAAAATTTGATTGTTTTATGAAGGAAGATGTCAACTAAAAAATGTATACTACAGTTTTTATTCTAATTATGTACTAGTTATTTGTGCTGTTGCTTCATTTCTGGTATAAATTTTTCCTGAAAAACGTTAATATAAATCTTGTACTATGAAATTTTTTCATTAGATTGTTAATCTTAATCCCAGGCCCTGAAACTTTTTCCAAATTTTAAATATGTATTCTGAGATTGCCCATGAGTTTTGCTTCATTTTTCCTCCTGTAATAAAATTGCTGCTCTAGTCATCGTGTACATTGGCACTTAGATAACAAAATTAAAATTAAATTGTTGTCTAAAATGATGAAAAATGCAGTTTAGATCAACATGTTCAATGGCACCTATGCAAGATAGCTGTAGTATTGTATAAAACATTTCTGAGAATATTGCATTTAATTGTTGGTACTTCTGTTCCAAAATGGTATTAGGCTGTTCTTTTATTTCATCTGTAAATAAGCATTCTGGTATTTTATCTTTTCTACTGATAGAGTACACTTGTTGATTGAATGTTTAAAAACCTCTGCTAGTTCAAGAATAATACACCATGGATTAACTTTAACCATGTTCTTGAGTGTCTGTGCTGGATGCACAGTCACAACGTCCTTCATCTTCAGGGTTAAAATTACTGAAAAGAAACTGTTACATCACATGCAAACTGCTTGAAAACTTATAGCATCATTCCCATAAGTGCAAATCTCATTTGCAGTATTTTTAGCATTATTTCCTTTTCTGTACATAAAGAAAATGCTTCTTTTGATTATGAATACTAACAGCACATGAAAAGGTCCAGGTAATTCTATAGACCAAATGAAAACTATTCCACTATAACAAGATGTGAAGATGCACTTACATTGTTCATATTGTATAGCCAATGTTAGAAATTATTACAGTTTAGCTATTAACCCTTTTGTGTTGAACTTGTCATCTGCAATACTTGCAAAAAGTGCTAAAAACAATATATCGTTGCATATGCTATAATTGGAATTTATTAATTATTCATATGGGAGCAATGTAATAATCAATGTGACCAACATTAATTTTTCAAAAGTGCGATACACCACCTTAAGTTATAAAATGCAACATACCATAGAGTTTCATAAGGTAATAATATATTTTCTCCCTGTTCACTTGCTGAAGCTCCTTTGAAATTAAAAGAAGTTGCTCTAATTGTTTAACCTGAAAAAATACATCAGAAAATTTCAACCTTATTATTTTCAGCAATCTACTTTAAATAATTACAGCAACAAATTATTTTCAGAGACATAATATAATTTAAGAAGAATTCTACTGCAATTTTAATTATTCATTAATAAAATTAAACAATTGATTCTTGAGCTAAATTACGGTAGCTGCAACTGTCCATGTATGCAGTGAAGTAGAAGGGGGAAAGAGCCGATACAAATTATAGGGGCCTGAAATTTATTTTTAATGGGTTATTGGATCTCTGAAAGGGCCTTCTTGATGCTCCCTTTTTTAAATAAAGTCATTAAAGTTTAAATAAAGTTCGAAGCTTGATTAAAACATCAATTCTTTTACAAGTTTACAAGTAATAAACAAGTTTTAAAAAAATGTATACCTGTGTTTTTTAAAAAACATTTTTCAATATAAAATTTCATTTTATAGTGAAGTCCAGTTATGGAGTTTCTGGTCATCCATTTACATTTCTGATTATTTGTTAAAATTTTACTCTTCAACTTCTGAGCAAATATGCTTTACTTTCTAATAGAGTAATTATTTATCAAGTTCATTTTCTTATTTTTTATAAAGCTCATGACCTACATCACAGACCCACAGATCAATCAATTAATATCTTTTATGCCGGACTGTCGCTGTTTTTGACGAGACGTTGCCGGCTCTACGACAAGTAAGCCACAAGGGAAACATAACATAGAAATGTCCGGACTGAGTAACAGGAGGTCGGAAGTGGGAAGGGGGGTGATGGGTGTCACAAAGCGAAAGCTAAGCGATTCACAGATTTATAGAATATCATACTTATAGATCCCATAACCCACAGATTCTCTCTACAGCAATCTATGCACGCATATAAAATACAGGGTAATCCAAAAGCTGCACACATCAAACTTTGAAAACTATGAAATTTCCAGAATGGACATTAGTGGTGAATTGTTTTGATTGATATCATCCCTATATTGTTACAGTTGTAGTTTATGCAGTTAGCTATAAAAACCACTTGTTGGGTGCAAGATGGAGATGAGTTTTATTCAAGCAAACCAAATTTTATGACTGAGCATTAAAGACATAAAATTTCATTGTGATGCCAATTTTCTCCCATTCTTAATTGATTATTGCAACATTTTATTCTTACTATGCCCATTGTTTGAACTCAAAAGAGATGGACAGCCACTTTGTTTTTTATGGTTCCAGTTTCTCAAATTAGATTACCTAGACAAAAATCATTGTCTTATTAGGTTCATCAACATTCAGGAAGGTCTCTTAAAACACTTCAAAAACTTTTCCATCTGAATGCACAGCGAAACATATTTTGAAATTTTCATTTGCATGACTTTTGGATCATTCTGTAAAAGCACAATAGTAGTGTGCAACCTACCGTGTTTAAGCAAGCTGACTTTGGAATAATAGCTGGAAATGAGATTAGTATGTGCTGCTATTTTTTTTAAAGTGTCTGCTAAACAATTGATAGTTTTAAAAAATAAATAATTTTTAGCAGTCAGCCATTTTCAAGCTAAACATTATTGCTATTGCTTCTCAGAGCAATCCCAACTCTAAAATTGCTAGTCAGATAATTGGTATAATTTGGCATCCTGTATAAATTAAGTGTTTTAATAAGTTATAGCAAAATATACCTTTCCTTAGTTGTCCCTTGAGAAAGAAACTAAGCTAATTCCCAGAAAAAATCTAAATCCTGAGTGTCTACTAAGTGTAGTCTCTGCTTGGAGCAAAGCCCTTATTTATAGTTATACTATAACTATCGAGCAGCGCTATCAAGATGCTACTGGAATCATTGTACACAGTAGTAATGAACAAATTGAAAAGGGAAATTCCAAATCATTTATCAAAGCATCTGGGAACCCGCCAAGTTGCATGATAGGTAAATTCTATAAATTTGTTATCTATAGTTATGATAAAATTTCAAATCAGTTTCTTTATATTTTAATTACTGATTAGTATTCATTAGTGCATGCGTTACAACACTCTGCCTAACCACTCTCAGTTTCAGAATATCAGAGATGCCAAATGACTACACGAAAAACAGGGGTTATTTGTTAAATTAAGAACACTTTCTTAGCAACAACCCCCCCTCAAAAAAAGGGGGGAAGAAGAAGATAAAGAAGTTATAAACACTCAAAAATAACTTTTCAAACAATTAACTAAATTCAAGCAGTATTCACACTAATGGATATCCGAAAGTGCAGTTACTGATCCTTAAATGAAAATAGTACAAAAATATTTTAATATGAAAATATATCTTTAATATTTCTACCTTTCACTATAGGAATAATATCAGTTAAAAAAGAGATAAATTATTCTACATTGACATGCTGAAACTGCACTTAAATATAAGAAATAGGGGCTTTTGCAGATGACTCATCTGCTTCGTCATCTGGAGCTGGAATGGATAGTCTGCTTAAGTTTATTTTTTTCTATTGCTTTCTTCTATTGCTGCACTCAAAATTGAGGTTCAGATGTATGGAAGGATGAAGGAAGATCTCTGTTGTAGCACAGTTGGGTGATGATTAACTGCTTCTTTAATTTTGAGGCTCATTTTATGCTAGGGTTTCACTATGATTTTGGCCTCATCCCATTCAATTACTGGGCCCTTGAAAGAATATTTAATCAAAGATATGATCTTTTTATTGTTGTTTTATCTAGTTGGCAGAAAGTTCATAGATATTTCTAGATTTTGAACTGGAGCACTGAGCTTCTATATATGTATCTTCATTTTGGATAGAGGCAGTACATACATCTAAAGTATCTATTTTGGCAACTTTGGCAATGTCCAGTTAATATGATCATATATATCAATTTCCAGATGGATGGGCTGGGATAATGGCAAGTTTATAAACAGATCTTTTGAAAATGGAAGTGATATGTGGGAGATCAGTTCATAGGGGAAAGTTCCAATAAACTTACTTTTATTTGATTCTTAAATGAGTAAGAATTTTACTTGAGAAATAACTGCTGAAGCTAGTCTACAGATTTTCCTGGTAATTTGTTCCACAAAATCAGGGCAGTATCTAGTGTTTTCAACACTTTTGTAGTATATATTTATATATACTTTTATAGAAAAACACAAGCAATTTAATATACTAGAAATACCCTTTTGGGAAGAAAACATTAAGCGAAGTTAATCAAAAACTGTACAAAAATTTAAGGACAATACAAAGACAGGAGAAATATGTTTTAAATCAAAATAGCAAAAATATGACCCCAAATCAATAATTCATTGCCTAAAAAAAAGAGAACTGGCACTTTGTTACAACTTTTTTTTATTAAGAATACCATTACAAAAATATTATAATAGTTCATTAAACATATATTTGATTTAAACCAGAAAATTGGGACAATATGTGGGCATTAAAAGAATATCATTTTAATAAGATAGCTCCCATAACACACAGATCACAATGACAGATAATGTCACTTGAAATTTTATAAAAGGATCATACTTCAAAACCTATGTTTTCCAAAATACCCAAGCACTTCATTTCTAAATGATTATGATACCACTAAGGCTTTCATACTGTTAGGAATGAAATCTTTATTATTCTCACTTCTGAAAATATAGTTGTGTGTTTTTTATTTCTAAAATATGGGTTGTGAATAATGCATGTTTACATCATAACTCAAAAGCAATGTTTTCAAATTATACAAGACATTTCATTTAAAATACCAAATAGCCTCAGTTCAAAATATGTTTATTCTAGAATATGCTAAAAAAATCCATGCAGTCATATTTACTGACTCAAACAGTTTTCAATGCACATTGTTTTTTTTACCAATAAATCTATAAGGCAGCTTTATATCTATTGAAGAATTCTCTCTATGCAATGCAGTTATGTCTCTTGTGACTGAAGCTATAGCCTTTTTGATCCTAAACTAGTCTCATACAATAATCCTACAGTCAAATAATAATTCAAAGTGAAAAACTACATTTGGCTGTATTATTTTTAATTGACAGAAAGGATACCATTCAATCATATCAACATAATTCTCTTGTCTATTTCTTCAGGGTTCATAGCCACATTTTAGTTAAAAAAATAAGCACCTATAAGCACTTTTCAAGCACATTTTAAGAAAAAAAATAAGCACCTGTCTAATTACATTATACACAACTGCATAACCTTAAAAATTAGACTTGTAATTTAAAATATGAGAAATGCAGTATTTATTAAGAGAGAATAAGCATTACCTCAACCATGGAAAATAATTACTTTTTTTAAAATTTTAAATAACAGTTCAATTTACAGAACTAGTTTACAATGAGAGAAAAAAAAAAAAAAAAAAAAACTATGCAGAATTAAACTACATTACAAGATTTAATGATGAAATTTCAGTTCAAAATAGAGGAAACAAATAATAATAAGGCATATTTATTCTATTCGCTTGGAACTTAATAATAAATACAATTTATTTTTCCACTCATATTGATATTTAACTAATTTAAATCTAAATTCTGAACATTTTCTAAATTTTCATCGTATATCAGTTTTTCCTTAACAGATATTGCAAGCAAAGTAATTTAAGTAAAAAAGAGGAACATTTCTGAAATCAGAAGACAGAAATTTGCTTCATGCAGTCATCCTTTAACAGTAAAAGCTTAATACCCACATACTTGAAAATTGGCGAATATTCGAACAGTCGAGCTTAACTTGATATAGAGGAGCGGAGGGGGGATAGACTGTAGCCGTTCTTTAGATTTTTCCGCTAAATAAATGCTTTTGACATTTCGATATGTGCGTCATATAAAAACAAACCAACGGAACAGAAAAATATTCTGCTTTGCAAGCACAGTAAAACTCTTTTAAGTGTTTATAAACAAATCTCAGACATCAAAATTAATTATCTCAGGGGAATATTGCAAACGTGATTGCGCAATACGTGCAGCGTAATTCTTCCCTACATGATATTGCGCAATCGGATTCAACAGCTGCCGGTATTGGGAGAATAAAGAACTAAATAAAGGAAAAGAAAGAGACTTACCAATCTGGGGTGTTTTTCATTCTAATTTTCAACAGACTGCGTTAAATTTCCGGAATAGAATCATTCTTTGCTTGGGTTGGTAGACCACAGAACTTTTAGTCCTATTCAATCCACATTAGACAGTGACAAAAACAAAAAGAAAAAAGAAGTCCGTTGCTTGTTTTGCAGGGAACTGTAACAGTTTCAATATTCGAGATTTTGTGGAGAAAGAGGAAAACCTTCCAACCTTCGTACTGTATAATGTACTGGCCCCAAAAATGAAATTTTGACTATTCGATTACTTTCCCTTTATTTAAGCCATTCAGAATATTATTCCTTAGAAAGCTAATCTGTGTTAAAACACAACCATTTTTGGAAGTTTACTATACTTCAGCAGTTACTGCAACTATGTTATTATAAACAATCATACATATACTCATAATATAAGCATAACGATCATAATAAACACGAATATGAACTGACCAAGCGGAACGAGAATGCAAATTATTAAGATCTTGATAGAAATTCAAACGTGTGTAGTATTTGGGTGGGAGGAAAAGAATGCCGAATGTACCAGAATTTTGTACTGCTTTCGCAATTCTTTGACCAACAGAACGACGGGCACCTGTCTGTACTCTCCGCGCAAAGGTTATGTTAATGCAGAGAAAGGGGGAAAAGGTATTTCCGGGAGTATGATTCCCCATCTGACATTCCTTACTACGAAGAAAAGTTGTTTATTTAGTTTCGGCTTTGGTACAGGGAAAAATTGCGCGTTCATTTAAAAAAAAGCACTAAAAGCAAAAAATATGCAATAAAAACAAAAAAATATGGGCTTTTTAAAGAAAAAGTAAGCACCTATAAAGGCCTTTATATTTTATTTTCAAATATAAGGACTTATAAGCACTTATAAGGACCGCTACGAACCCTGTTCTTGCTTTGTTTCCTTTCTGATAAAAATGCCAACTACACAGATCTATGATGATTTTTGAAAGGGGCAATAATAATGGAATTGTATCCTATAGAGGTTTAGTAATATGGAGAGTAATGTTCACTGAAAAACTGTTTAATTCAATGTAATAGTATGACTATTTCCCTATCCCAAAATGCAATTTCTATAAAAGTATTTTGGCCCATTAAATAATTTATGTACACCATACAGACACATCCTAGATTTTCACAGATGTTAACGAAGTCACGTTAAAATACCCGATTTGCAGTATATTCAGTATACATATCCAAAATATATAAACAAACAAACAAATAAACAAAAAAATTTAGTTTATATATATTCAATATGTTCACCCAAATGTATAAACTTACTTTGTTTTCATCAAACATTTTAGAGCACAGTTCTTCCAAGTAAATATCAGCTGCTTTTCCAACACTCTAAAAATATAAAAGGAACATACTTCTGTTCTGCATTGAAAGTTTAACTGAGATTTAAAACACAAGCTTTTATGGCAAGATTGCAGTATAATAATATATAACAGGGGTGGCCAAAGTGCAGCTCGCGAGTCTGATATGGCTCACACAGGCAATTTGTGCAGCTCGCGCATATAAAATATATGTATGAAATATAGTAAACTGAAACTATTCAGTGTCCAAAAAAAAGTAATTAATTAGTTTAGACTCTTTCTGCAACGTTATCAGGGATTTCTTTCTATTTAAAATCTCCTCCACTACTTCTATAATGATTTAAATATGAATTCAAATGTGTGGCTCTTACTGACATGAAGTTTGGCCAACCCTGGTATACAACAATACTACACCCCTACAAATTTAACATTCATAATATAAAAAAAAATTGGATCAACATTTTTTTCAAGAGGCTTAAAATTATTAAGGTTATAAAAATATGAATTTATGAAACAAACTTTTGTTTAAATTATGTGTATTTTCTTCACTTGGAACAAGTTAGTAGAATATTTATATCATGTGACAATAACTCTTTTAACTGTGGTATAGCAGTTTAAACCATGAACAAAGAAAAATAAATTATACAAATTTTTTAAAATTAAAGAATCTGATACAATAAAATTCACAGCTGACAGTATACTCATATATCTGCATTATATATAGGAAAAATGAAATAAGAATGCTTGATAAAGCAAAAAGACGAATGCTATAATTCGAAATTTAAAAACAGTAAGTCATTATAAAAACAATAAATGTGCATAATTTGAGATTAAAAGCAATCTTGATCAAGCAAACAGAGAACAGAAAATATATGAAGCACAAATCAAAATAAACAATTATAAAAATATTGTAGCAAAAATTGCTCTTTTTGACTGACCTCCTCATCGCTTAGCGAAGAAGACGCAGGATTCGAAACCCGAAGGTCCCGCATTCGAAATCCATCAATGGCAAGATGCCTGATAATTGTTTTTTATGTAAATTTCTTTCCTGTTAATGTTATCTTATTTATGTAAATTTCCTTCTTATTCTTTCAGAACATTTCTAGTTTGGATTGTTACAGCATGTTCACTAGCTATATATAAGTATCTCTACATTCCGTTTGAGTTAATAAAATGTCTTGAGTTTAGACTTGAGTACTTGCCTGTTCATTTGTAGGATCCCTTCATCTACGTGACAATATATATGAATTTGAAATGGTACATTATGCACTCTCTATCAGTGAAGAGGCAACACAAGTGGAAATGTGATTAGAATTTGATTGTACATCATATGCTTCCCCCTCGATGAGATAGCACAAAATAATTTCATATTCATTTATTCAAAATGGTTTATTTGTACTTCATGCACTTTCAGTTTCTTATGTGCTTAGTAACAATTATTTCTATCATCATCTGGCTCACCTTTTGTCACGGAGAAAGACAGAAAGTACAATATAAATGAGTATCATTATAAAGTACATTTTATTATTACTTTATCTAGTGTTGTTAATATCTCAGTGTGCATGCTTATGAATAATGCTCCACCATATTTACATAACTTCTCTCCATATAAAAGAATAGTGCACAGCATATTTTGCATAACTTTATTTAACGGTACAGTATACAATGTATTATAGAGTACAAAGTCTGAGATAAGACTCATTGGGTCTTCAGCGATTCTGGATTTCAGAAAATTTTAGATGAGTTTAAATCTAGAAAGATGACATGCAGAGATTATAAAATAATTTTTGTGAAATAATGAAACATTTATGACTTTCAAGGAATCAAAATTTACTCCCCCTTCTCCCAAAAAAAGTTCAATATTTATTTATTTGTTTCATTAAATACCTTTCACTGAAAAGTTTTTCAAACTTTTTATTTTTTTTGTTAAACACTAATTCTATCTCTTTAATTTTTTATATAGACATAATTTCTTATTCAATTACAAAGTTCAAATCCTGCAAATGCCTTGTTGAGAATTCCCACTAAATGAGTGAGTGAGTGAGTGAGTGATTATGGCGCAAAAACCAGAGATGATTATGACGCGCCAAACACAAGATGGGATGATTACAATTGAAGTCATTAAAATTCAATGAATAAAAACAAGTAGATAAATGTACCAAATCCACAGGATGAAGTCATATAAAAACAAGTTAAAAGCACATATTAAAATTCAAGACACAGTCTTCAAAACAAATTACATTAGGTAATAAAAGCCAATCTCTTTTAAATAGTAAAATAAATTACAATTGACCTCTCTTCCGATTAAACGGTCGAGAGGTAAGTCACAGCTATTAAAATATTTCTGGCGAAGATTATTAAAACATGGACACTCAATTAAAATATGATGAACAGATAAACAAACATTACAATTAAAACAAACAGGCTCATTTTCAGCTTTGAGAAGATAGTTATGTGTGACTCTAGTGTGGACCAATTCTGAGGCGAGTCAAAAGAACGTCCTCCTTACGATTTCCAGCAAAATCCCAATGCTCAATTCTAGGCTTGACGTTTTTCAACTTGTTGTGATGCTGAACATCCCAAATTTGCTGCCATTTTTTTTTTCGGACCTTTCCCTCTGATGACACTGCAGATATCTCTAAAAGGGATAAGGCGACTGGACAGTTCAACAGCAGATTTGGCTGCGATATCTGCAAGCTCATTTCCCTTTATTCCAGCATGTCCAGGAACCCAGCAGTACAGGACTTCATAACCTCGAATCGTTAAATTTATATGAATTTTTAGAACATCCACAACCACAGGATTCTGATTGTTGGGAAAAGCTTCCAAGGATTTAAGAGCACTATACGAGTCTGTATAAACTATGAACTTTCTATGGCAGAGCTTTGATATGTACAAAAGACCATAATATATTGCAGTTAGTTCAGATGTTATGACTGAGCAAGCATGATGCAGGCATTTGCCCTCAATGTAATCTTCAAATACAAAAGCCGTCCCGACATGATCATTTGACTTCGATCCATCTGTGTATATCGGATAATAACTGCTATATTTCTGCCTGTGCTCAGCAAAGAATTGTCTGTAAACGATCTCGTTAGTGCTTGCCTTCACGTGATGTTTGAAAACATCGAGCAGCTGAATACGTGAATTTTCCCAAGGTGGGATTTCAAAGTTCTGTACTGCTTGGGGGGGCATATCAGAGAGGGAATGTTCCTCAATGATAGGGCGAAGTCTTAAAGGAAAGATAGGAATACAGGATGGACGTGTTTCAAATAATATATTACACTCATTATCAAGTAAGCATAGCTTATTGGGATGTTCAGGTTGTGATAGAATATTAAAATATTGCAAAAGGGACAATTGCTCACGCCTCAGATAAAGTGATGGTTCGTTAGAGTCAACATACAGGCTCTGGACAGGAGAAGTCCTGAAAGCTCCTGAACAAATCCGCAGAGCTTGATTGTGAACAGGATCGAGTTTTAACAAAACTGATGACCGAGCGGATCCATAAACAACTGAGCCATAGTCCAGTCTAGAGCGAACAAGGGCTCTGTAAATGCGAAGCATGGAGCAACGCTCTGCACCCCAGGAGGTGTTCGCCAACACTTTTAAAATATTTAGTGTTTTTAGACACTTCTTTCTCAGGTTTAAAACATGAGAAAGGAAAGTCAATTTTCGGTCGAACGTCACTCCTAAAAATTTTACTTCGGGCGTAACTGGAATAATTGTACCATTCAAATATAACTCAGGTTCAGGATGGAGACCACGCTTCCTACAAAAGTGAACACACACAGTTTTCTGTTTCGAAAATGTAAATCCCTGTTTGTCTGACCATTCTTGGATCTTATTCAGAGCCATCTGCAGTTGCCGCTCTACATATCTCATGTCTGCTCCTCGACAGCTAATCTGCAGATCATCAACATATAGAGATCCCAAGATGGTGGGAGGAAGTTCTTTTAATACAGAGTTTATTTTTAAACTAAACAGGGTTACACTAAGCACACAGCCTTGAGGCACACCCTCTTCCTGTTGAAAAACATCCGAAAAAACAAAGCCAATCCTTACTTGAAAAGTTCTAGCGTTCAAGAAATTCTGTATGAAAATTGGTAGGTTGCCGCGCAAGCCACTCTCGTGAAGATCCCGGAGTATACCGTATCTCCATGCCTTATCATAAGCTTTCTCAATGTCGAAGAATATTGAGACAAGGTGACTTCTTCTGACAAAGGCTTTTCGAATAGATGTCTCTAATAGAAGCATATTGTCTACGGTCGTTCTCCCCCCTTTCGAAAACCGCTCTGATAAGGCGATATAATATTATTCTTTTCCAAGAAGTAGACTAGGCGGCTGTTTACCATCTTTTCAAACAGTTTGCAAACACAACTGGTAAGGGCAATTGGCCGATAGTTCGAGGGATTCCTCGGGTCTTTCCCTGGCTTCGCAATAGGAATGACAATAGCTCTCCTCCATGCACTGGGAAATGTACGCTCCTTCCACACTCTATTGTAAAGTGTGAGAAGGGCACTCAGTGACTTATAGGACAGATGCTTTAGCATTTCATAATACACGCCATCCAGACCCGGACAAGACCTATGTGTTTGCAACAAAGCTCTCTTTAGTTCAACCATAGTAAAGTCTCTATTGTACGGCTCAAAGTTGGAAGAGTTGAAAGCGATGGGATTTTTTTCAGAGCGTTGCTTGATAGAAAGAAATGCAGGTGAGTAATTTCGGCTGGAAGAAACGGCAGCAAATGTCTCACCAATTGTATTTGCAATTTCTTCTATGGAGCTAATCACTCGGCCATCTTTTTCCAGAAAGGAAAGTGAGTGGTCTTTATACATTCCGCATGCTTTTCGAACTCTTTCCCAAACCCGCTTACTAGGCGTAGAGGATGTTATTGAGGACACATATGAAATCCAGGAATCCCTCTGGCTCTGCCTTCTTACTTTCCGTGCATTTGCTCTGGCTCTTTTAAAAGCTATGAGGTTTCGCAGAGTAGGATATCTACGAAAAATACCCCATGCTTTTTTCTGTTTTTTCAGTGCTTCATGACAGTCGCGATTCCACCACGGTTTCGAATATTTTAGTAGTTTTCCTGATGTTCTAGGAATGGAGAGCATAGCTGCCTGAATAATAGTATTAGTAACAGCTTCAACAGCGTCATCGATATGCACACCTTCTACCATTTGATGTGTGAGCTCTGCAATGGAAGAGAAGAGTTCCCAGTCTGCCCTGTCCAGGATAAAACGAGGGAGTCTCGTCATGGGATTTGCTTCTCTTCGTGCAAGAGACACAAAAATAGGATAATGATCGCTGTTGTACAGGTCATTTCCGACACTAAAAGTGCAAAATGGCAACAGAGATGGTGAACAGATGGCAAGGTCGAGAGCATGGAATGTCTTTGTAGGCTCATGGAAGTAAGTATCCTGCCCATTATTCAGGAGACAAAGGCTATGATCTTCGATCATCTGCTCAATTTGTCTCCCTCGGCAATTTGTATCTTTACTACCCCAGAGCAGACTATGGCCGTTAAAATCTCCTATTATGATGAAAGGCTCAGGCAGCTGCTCTAAAAGACCATTTAAATCTTGCTGATCAATATGCTCATTTGGAGGCAAATACAGAGAAACGACTGTAACAACAATATCAAAATTTGTTTGAGTAGCGACAACTTGGAGGGGTGTCGTCAAAGAAAGCACATTTGAGGGATAATCCAGTGAGGTGAGGAGACCTACACCTCCACTGGCACGTTCACCTGCAATGTTATCTTTCCTGACGAAAGAAAACCTCCGAAGTTTTGCCTGTTGTTCTGGTTTTAGATTTGTTTCCTGTATTGCGAAGCATACAGGATGATAAGCATTGATTATGGCTTTGATGTCGAGCAAATTTCGGTGGAAACCGCGACAGTTCCATGAGACGAGGGTGGCCATTATGATTGATGTTTGTTGTTCCTGTGTTCCTTTTTAGTTTTGCGCGGAAGCAGATGATCGGGAACTTCTAGACCGTCTTCCACTTCCATACTGTCTGAATCTGCAGATTCAGAAATAATTTTATTTGCAGAACTATTGCTGGGACTTCTATTTTTGGTTTCTATTATTGGAGGCACAGTTTTGGGTTTGCTCGGGATTGCTATTTCTTTATTTTGTATGGTATGTGTTGGATTTCTTTGTTCTTGCTTGCAGGCTGCTGGTTTTTATTTGGTGGAGTCTGTGTACTTATGGAAGTTTGGGTGGCTATTGTGCGGGTTGATTTCACGGCATTGGCATATGATTTGTTCGATATAGGCTGTGTGCTTTGAACTTGTCTTCTGGCTTCGGAATACGAAATGTTCCTGGTAACTTTTATGGTCTGCACATCCTTTTCTAATTTCCATTTCGGACAGGAACGAGAAAATGCTGGATGGTTGCCCTTGCAATTTATACACAGTGCTGCAGCGGTGCAATTTTCGCTATCGTGGCCAACCGACGAGCATCGAGCGCACGTCAGGGTCCCACGACAGGACATCTTGGAATGGCCAAAACGCTGGCACTGGAAACATCGCATAGGGTTTGGAATGTATGGACGTACAGGACAATTGAGGTATCCAGCCTTAATATTCTTAGGCAGATCAGGCGATTTGAAGGTCAGGATCACGTGTTTGGTGTCAATCAACTGACCTTCCTTACGCATCTTGATCCGCCTAGCGCCACAGACATTTTGGTCAGCTAACTCGGAAACGAACTCTTCTTCTGAAACAGAGAGAAGGTCGATTTCCGAGATAACACCTCTACAAAAATTCAGAGTTTTATGCGCTGACACAGTTATAGCTACATTTCCAAGTTTGGTTTGTGACAAAAGGGAAGCAGATTGTGTTGGCGAAACAGTATCTATAAGCAGGTCTCCAGAACGGAGACGCTTAATATTCTTTGGCTGACCTATGCATGAGTTAATGTATTTGCTTACTAGAAAAGGAGACATCTTTTGCAGTTCACCAGAAGGACAAGAGACAACTAGGAAGCGCGGATTTTCAGTAGTTTCCTTTGCATTTACATCAGTACGGGTTTTCTTACTAATAGGTTTCTCAATTATTTCTATATCTTGTTTAATTTCGTTTGGGTCAGGTTTTTTTAGTATGAAAATTGAAGCCATGTTTAAAAGAGAAAAAATTCGGGTCCGACGGCCCCGCCCACCACCCCCACTAAATGAATGGTTCTCAAACCTTTTATTATATGCACACCTTTCACCTCTATTAGACAATTATTCACCCCTCCTCTTTCCAAAACTTGAAATATATATATACAGTGATGCTGCTTAATGTGATAGCAATTAATGTTATCATTTAAATATTGTTTTCAAATTATTGAAGTCCCACCCATTTACATAGAAAAACATGGATAATACTTCACTTATTTGGATCAAAAAGTCAGATAATATGAATAAAATATTAAAAGTAATTTTTTTTAAATTGAATTAAAGTTGCCGAGTAAGATAAAAATTAGTTACTGCCTTGTGTCAGAAAAATGCCAGGATTAATAAGCCAAACAGCTTTTTAGTTTGATCATTTAAAACTACATAAAGAAATAACCTTAGTTTTATGTAGATTTTCTGTAACCCTATAGGTTTTGACAGCGATCAAACAGGATCCTCCTTTTCAAAAGCTAAAATACTTTTGCTGAATTCCCTCCCCCCCTTGCATAAAATAGCTTCTGAAAACATCTACGTCAAATTACTTTTTGCCTAATTTTAAATTTAATATTAACAAGTTCTCTTCCAGTGAGGAATGCCTATGAGATTAAGGGCATTGGTCAAATAATTTTCAGAAATGTAATAAATGAACTTTTGCATAAAAGATATTAAGAATAGTTCATAAACAAACTTCTGCATTTTCCTTATTAAGATGCCTTAAAAATGCCTATTTATATTTATATTAAATTAATCAAATTCCATTTCTGTTTTGAAGGATATTTTTTCCTCAACACTTAATGCTATATGGTTATTTAAATTTATATTATTTTTAATGTGTTTCAAAGAGGAAAAAGTAGAGAAAATGTTGATAAAAACTAAAACTAGAATAATTTTTTTAAATTTTTTTTATATTCATATACTAAAACTTAACACGTAAATAAAAAACTGACCACATGTTCTCTCTCTGGAAAAATGAAATTTCCCACAGAGGGGAATTCCTCTCTGGTTGACTGTTTCCTTTAATAAACTATTAATCGAAATTTCTTCATTCTTAAAAAATTCTTTGTCATTTTCGTCACTATTGATAGCTATATTTTCTGAATTTAAAACTGTACTACAAAATCTAATTCTTTCCTGCTTCCAGCCATTAATTATGCCAATAAAAGAAAACCACTATTAGCCACACCCAATTCCAAACAAATATGTACAGGAGCTTCACTTATTGTTTAGGTCAGATAGTAAAATATTATCCCTCTACCATCACAATCATTCAGGGGCTGAAAGCATGGTCATGGCTAACATTAATCAATATACAGTCTTTTGTCATGATGGTGTGATTCCCAGGATAGTAAATATTTATAATTGACATAAGAAATCTCTGCTAGTTGGGAAGAAAATTGCTTTTATGAAAAACTCATTTTTATGGAGTATTGCATTCTTCATTCATAAATAAATAATAATAATAATAATAATAAAACCTTGGTGGTGTGAAGGTCTGGATTTGGAACTTTATACTGTAGTTTATAATTATACTTCACTATTTGTTTTTTTATTTAGGACTGGTAATGCTTTACAATGTAAAATTTACAAATTAAATGTGATTGTATTTCTTTTAGTACATTATAAAAGTAGCCTGTTTCATATGGCCTTCACTATTATTCAAAGATTATTTATTTGTGGTAAGTCTTGAGGCATTCCTGTACATTATAACATGAATTGGTATGTATCATATTTGTGAACTATCCTGTCACACCTGCATCCTATATCTGTTACAGCATGTAGTGCACCCTGTACTCCTTGTATTATAGGAATGCCAATACATGCTATGAAGAATAAGAAGAGAATAAGAATAACTGAATTACAGATTTAGATCATTAAACCAAAAGATAAGGCATAGTAGCACTAAACTGTAAAACAACTAATAATTTGAAAATGTTTATAAAATATAAATACATACCTTAATGACTTTTAAGGCATGGTGAAGTCGTCCAGTTTCAACGAAGCTTACAGCCAGTTGATTAACAGCAACCATTTTTCCAACATTAGCAATGGTCAAATCAATAACTATATAAAAAAATAGTTATTTTAAAAAAAGCAAAATTTATTACAGGAAGTTGTAAACATGTAATTTAGATTTGAATAAATGCAATTATAGAAAGATTAACAGAATTATTCGAGAAAAACAAATCTTAGAGAGTTAAGTATATTATAACTTTTAAGAGTCTTGTTTATAATCAAGAAACATTAATTACAGCATTAAGGTGAAGATTCATCAAACCAAAACAACACAGAAAACACAATATTAAATCTATAAGTTAAAAAAAGGGGGCAACTTCTTTGGTTTCATTCATTAGATGTAAACACCCTTTTTTTTTTTTTTTTTTTTTTTTTTGAAAAAAATGAAACCAGATAATTTCAACACATCTTACAAATGAAAATAATAAAATTGCATAGCAAATGGCATTTGAGTATTTAAGTCAAATAAGCTAAAATTAAAGAAAGGGGGGAAAATTTATTAAGCAAAATTTGAGTTACCAAGATTTTTAGCAAATTATACCTAAAAATCAGCTACGAATCTCATAGATATGCATATAAATATACTTAACAAAAGCCAGATGTGAAATTATTGTGCATAACAATGAAAACTATTTTTTAATACATTAGTCTAAGAAATTCATTTTGAAGACTTAAAGCAATGTGATTATAGCAAATGATATTATAAAAAACATTAGACAGAATATATCAATTTTAAAGTGATACTGAAAGTTAATAAAATGTTTCTTTTGCATTTAGAAACACTTCTACCCCTCCTCCAATAGTGGAAATATTACATGAATATATTGAATTAAATACTTTAACAAAAGCAGTACTTTGAAAATATTGTTTTCTGATTTCTTAAAAAAATAATTAATTGTTTAAAAACAATTTACAGCAAATAGATTTCCTATATTGTAAACATGATAAAAGAATATAATTTAAATATAAACTGTAAATGTCTGGCTTTTTCTAATAGAATTTGACAAAAGAATTTAATAAATAAAATTTTAAATGAAAATTAGTAAAAACATTTCCCCAAATATTTGAGAACTCCTTTTTCTTCTTTAAACACCAGAAATACTATACAAAAAGGTGAACATAAATACTGCAACAGAAGATAGTATTTTAGAGAAGTTCCAATTTTGTAAGGAAATTGTTCTACAATATAGATTGAATAAATATATAAAAACCTATAGCTTTTTTCTTTTTGAAAATTCCAAATAAAAGAATGGAGTTTATTTGTAAAAACAAACTGCAATTTTTGTTAAATTCACATTAAAATTTAATACTCATAAATGCAAAAGTATCTTTGCTAGAATAATTCAATAAATGACCCAGAAAATACGAGAGTGCATATCACTTTCAATTTACGGTTTATATAAGATAAATAGGAAATTCCCTTGTCTGTAAAGAACAGATGAAGAAATCTTGCTATATAACCTCATTTGCTATATATCTTGCTATATTAACACATTCAGCGCCACGTCAGCCATCTGTGGCTGACACTAGACTTTCCGTTTAAACCGCATCGACCACCTCTGGCTGACAGTGTGTAACATGATATATAACTATAAAATTTACACTTTTATGGAATTACAGAAAATTTATTTAAAATTTACTTAACTTTGATTCATTACAGGACTAATGGATTTCATTGAAACATGGTAAACATAAAAACAGTTCTCCTTTGCAGATATTACAAAATGTGACAACTCTTTTATTCTTTTTTCTGGTCATTACTCTATCACCTTCTGTTGCATTTTTATCATAACATAATTTACAATATTTCCGTACTTCAAGGGCCTTTTCCTGGTTTTCTTTGGAGTTTATGTTGTCGTTTTTTAGATATTCTTGCATTTTTGTTCGATGGAATGTCTTTTTTTCACAACTTGTAAGGGATAGCGCTAATTCTTTCCGGAATTCAGTAATGCTAATTTTCTGCTTCGTAATATCTGTGTATGTTACTATTTACAACCGTAGTATTTAGTAATAATTTGAAGGCTAGTTTTCGATACCATTTTATGGTCCTGCGTAATGGAGTGGTGTAGGCATTCATTTGGTCAGATAAGTCGACGGTTGCCTTTTGTCTATTGTAGTCTACTATAATTTGTGGCTTGCACTTATTTCCGGATTGGCATTCAACATTCACCATTTCTAATGAGTGCTTTGTCGATAGAACTAGGATGTTGCATTTTTATCATAACATAATTTACAATATTTCCGTACTTCAAGGGCCTTTTCCTGGTTTTCTTTGGAGTTTATGTTGTCGTTTTTTAGATATTCTTGCATTTTTGTTCGATGGAATGTCTTTTTTTCACAACTTGTAAGGGATAGCGCTAATTCTTTCCGGAATTCAGTAATGCTAATTTTCTGCTTCGTAATATCTGTGTATGTTACTATTTACAACCGTAGTATTTAGTAATAATTTGAAGGCTAGTTTTCGATACCATTTTTATGGTCCTACGTAATGGAGTTTCTGTAGGCATTCATTTGGTCAGTATAAGTCGACGGTTGCCTTTTGTCTATTGTAGTCTACTATAATTTGTGGCTTGCACTTATTTCCAGATTGGCATTCAACATTCACCATTTCTAATGAGTGCTTTGTCGATAGAACTAGGATGACCTTCTTATCTCTCCATTTCAAAATGGTTATTCCTTTGTTATTTTCTTTTGCCACGATTTCTCCTCGTTTTAATTTTGTTGATATCACTTGCTGTGAATTTCCTAATCGATTTGCACATTATGTTCTCACTAAATACATGTTTTTATTAATTAATTTTTCCACTAATTCTAAGCTTGTGTACCAAATGTTACCTTGTGTACCAAAGAGACATTTCCTTGCAAAGATTATCAGATAAATCTTTGCAAAGAGACATTACAATGTTAGTAGGCATAGTATTTTCTTTTTCTGAAGTTTTCCCTGTGTATACATGGAAAGCATACGTACATCCTGATCCACAGCATAACTTAAATATTTTAATTCCATATTTGTGGCATTTTTGTTTTAGATATTGCCTAAATATAATGTGGCCTCGAAAAGGAATCAAGGATTCGTCAATGCGTATGTCCTCAGTTAGTTTGTAATATTTTTGGTAGTTGGTTTCCAAAGTTTCTAAAACTGGTTGTATTTTGAATAAACGATTTGAACCATTATTATTTTTGCTGTCTACAAAATGTAGCATTCCTAGTAAAAGTTCAAATTCGTTCCTTGACATGACTGTTTTCAGAAATGTTTGCGAATAAGCACGATCACTGGACCAATATTGGTGCATAGCGGGTAATTTTACTAATCCCATTCATATAATCAGTCCAAAAAACTCTATTTCAGATTTACTTGTCTCTGAATACTTTGCCAAGTGCTGCATGTATCCACCTTCTACTTTCTGTGATGCACATAAGTTTGTCTCTTTGGCAATTTCCTCGATCAATTCATCCGGAACAAATAATTGATAGCTGGTTTCTACAGTTATATATGATACTATATGCAAATGTTCACATACAAATCCAGAAGAACGTGTAAATGGCACCATCTTTGGCTGATTACCCCTCAGGTCATGCCCTTCTCCAACAATTTCCTCCTCCTTGTCAGATGATAAAAATACATCCATTCAGGGCCATTTCCTAGCAAGAATAATTTCATTGCTGCTATCGCTTTCACACTCTCGGACTGACATTTTGATTCTCAGGGCTAAAGAAAATTTTTGTTTGTACGGGGCCAAGAACTGCAATGAACTGGTTTGTTGTAAAGGGAACACCGATTTGATAAAATCTTATCTAGTCATAACTTTACCATTGGCAAAATATTAAAGAAAACAAAACAGATTTGGCACGTAATGTGTTGAATGAGTGCCTATAGGAATCACATTCCAAACGTAAACTATCTTCTACTGCGTTAAGAATCACAGGCCCTACAATAACAGCGCTTTTATGCAGCACGCATGGCCTAAATGGGATTGCCTAAGAAATATGCGTGGCGCTCAACGTGTTTCCAGCATTTGCAAATAAACAGCCAATACCACTATCTAGAACTCCTTTTTTACAAGGCCAATACCTCATGGCAACCTAGAACACATTTTAGATCTAGTTAGAAAAAACTGCTATTATTAATTTGTTAACATCTGCCCTCTCTTTATACAGAATTAGGATGGCTTTTTTTTTTTTTTTTTTAGAAGCAATTATTTCTAGACATGTGAAATTTTTCCAATAAAATGTGTGTGCAAAATTCTCAAACAATAAAACTGTACATGATAACAGATGTACACCTTGCACAAAAAAAAAAAATAGGAATAGTTCTATATCTCTTGTTCTCCTGGACCGATTGTAGAAATTTAACTTGCGTTTCTCATGTCTCGAAAGTGCAACTTGGGATATATATTAGATTTATATATTTGTTCCAACATAGGTATTCTGACATAAAATCGGTCTTTATCTCCAATAACATATAAATTTTTTTCCAGATTTTGATTCTACGACTCAAATTATGCCAAAGTGCTAAGTTTTGTAAAAATCACACAGGTACTAATTCAGAAGTCAAACAACAAAAATCAGCGTTATATTTACAAATATAACGCTGATTTTTGTTGTTTGACTTCTGAATTAGTATTTATTTGGCGTGTTATTGTGTCTTAATCACACAGGTAGTTTAAAAAAAATTTTTTTTTAGATTAGCTCCCCTGTGTTAATTGAATTTGGTATATATATATAAATGTAATAATAAAATTTCATAGTCAAGAACACACTTAAAATTCTAACTGTATGCTCTGTTCATTTTTAATGGCGACGTTCTCTTATTTGAAAGTACGTGGAATTAAATCCACAGCTTCGTAGTCAAGTTTTTTTTCCCGCATTTTCTACACATACAGTTATAGAATGTTCTGGAAATATTTAAAGCGAACTGGATTGGCTGACGAGGCTGACGTCATTTCTTGGAAGCTCCGCCTTTCCAGAGGCTATAAAAGGACTCGCAAAAGAAATATTGGGGCTTTTTCTTAAATGTCACGATGCAGTAAAATTCATACAAAAAGTTA